TCTCCCCTGCTGAGTTCCTAGAAAAAGGCATGCTTGGAGCAGTAAGTTGAAGAAATCTCCCTTTTAACAACTTGGGAGAACGGCACCCTTTTGTTCAAGAAACTTGATCTGCTTAACCCAGGACTTTTGGCAAGTACTCTACCTCTCTAAAACGTCTTTCTGTTATCTCTTTGCTGTGTTATTGCTCTCTGAATTTATATGTATATATTGGCTACATCTTTTTCTGTAAATATTGTTATTGCACCCTTTTGACCTTTTTAGTAATAAATCCTATTATCTTAAAAGTATTGAACTATTTCTAAAGCTCTTTAATACAAACTAAGAATCCCTGTCTCTGAAGAGCGCTACTGTGTGTTTTAAACCTCTATATATCTCTGCCTGCGGTGACAGTGGTATACAGATGATTATTATTCAAAAACATCATAGTGTTATTGCTAATATTGGCGAGTTTTCTCCTTTTCTCTACAAAAAGGCGGTAGTGGCAGTGTGAAGAGTTAATTGCGTATTTAACCTGACCCAGTAACAATCGCTCTCAGGCTGCAGGTACATCGATTGTGGTCTATTAGCTGGAAAATCTTTGTGCAGGGTGCAGCTGAGTGTGGTATTGTTACGCATGTGACAGTGTGGTTTTAGATTGGCTAGTCCTTCGATCACGAGTTGGTGAGAAGGGCTGGGGGTCTGACGCCGCGAATCGTCACAGGGCTCCCTTACCAATCATGGTGCCAGCTAATGCAATTTTGGGCATCCAAATCTGATTGATATACTGTATAGAACATTTTATAATCCTTTGAATGCTTTGAGAATGTATATTCTGAATGACGTTCTGTTATCAATGGCTGAAGTTTTCTATACATATTGTTTTTGTATGTTAATGCTGTTTGGCATGTGCCACTTTATTTCTGCTGGATAAATGTTTCTCAGATAAAGATTACATTAGAAGAAAAACTATGGCAGGCTTGACAGGGACCACCAGTGGGATTTTGGTAATTTGGGTGTCCCTTTTAAAGCATGGCAATGTTGACCCTTGCTTCTATCACATCAACATGTCCATGTCCCTCTGTGCTGAACTTGTTGGTGGGTAAAGATTTTAAAAAATAATTTTTATTTCTATAGTACGTTTCTCCTTCTGGACTCAAAGCTTTTCATCTGCTGCTGGGAAAGATGGTGAGGCAGCCATCTTGCCATGCTCAGGGCCAATTTTAGGCAAGAGCCAATTAAACTTTCAGCTTGTCTTTGGAATTTGGGAGGAAACCAATGCAATCATAGGGAGAACATTCACACTCCATGCAAACAGTGTGCTGTCGATAGGGGTGCCATATAAATTGCTAGCCACTTCCCAAATCTAAATGTCTGAAACTGTGAATTGTCCCATCTGCCAGGTACACTAAGTCATTCCTATGTACATCCGTGTTACTAAGATCCCTTAGCACACACATACTGTGGTAGATTTACTTACTGCAATTGCAGTTGTTCCAGAGCTTAGTAAAGGAGATAAAGTTCTGCTGACTTCCATCATCCAATCGTGTGCAAGCAAAAATGCGGTCTTTTCATTTTCCTTGAATGTGATTGGGTATTCTTAGCAAAGTTAAGTTTTATCTCATTTACCAAACTCTGAAGTAACTGCACTTGCAAAATGTATATTCTATTTGCCTTTAGTAAATCCACCATACTGTGTTTGATCTGAGCAAAAAGTACATACAACCAAATACAATTGCAGTAATTGATATTGCAGCAGAATCTGAAAGTGCGGGAGAGTTAAGTGTGGGGACTTCTCGAGTACTATTACTGACTTTTGTTGTCATAGATATTTTCATTTAACAATCCACTATCATTCACCCTGAAATCACCAGACTCTTTTTCAACTTATTTTATTCAAGTTCTAAAATCAATGTAAATAAAAATAATAATATAATTTAGTCTAAAGTGTAGAACAACTAGTATGCTATTTTCATTTGTTCAAACATTTACTTTACACATTTATTTCACACTTGTAACAGTTCTAAAAAAAAACATGCCAATGCACTTAAATACAAACTGTTATTCAACCTTGCTAATGTAAAATAATATACACAATAATAAAATATATTTGCTGTTAATTTAACTTTCTATATTAGAATCATATATCTAGTTCTGTATAATTTGAGCTACAGTATTTATAAGATGCAAATTAGTTGACATCAATCCTGCATCAAAATTACTTAAGATCCAGGCAAATGCAAAAGTTAAACCCAGCTAAAGCCAAATCTTTTATTTTTTTCAATAGAGTGGATAACACCCAAAACTCAGAAGTTCTCACTACAAAACTAACTAGAAAGTTCTGGCTGTAGTTGGGTTTTAAGGTAGAAAATATGAGTCCAACATTTAAGTTTCTGACTAAAGTTCCAATTGAAGTCTGCTAGATCACTTCAGGCTGGCCCATTTTGCTTGTATAGCTATGTAAAACATATCAAAATAAATGCCTATACTGTTTAAAATTCAGTAATGCACTGTCTCACCCTGCTCTGCACATGCTCTGTAGCTCTCCGTTTTTAGGCACTGTGCCGAATTTGTAGAGGTCGATCTGCTGACAGTCTAAAGATTAAAGTGGAACTAAACCTATTGTTTTACCAGTTAAAAAAACAGTTACATTCCTGAATGCCAGGAATGCTATCTGTCATATTTGCTTGTGTTCTCAACCACACTGTCAAACCATCAAATGACTGGTGTTATAACTGATCATATGTGCAGCATCATGGTAGCTGCAGATATAACAGATGGCAGCTTCCTTGGCTGAAAGAAGAGGGCTCTGGCTCAGGGCTTGCTGGAGGCAATTTGCAGCATACACTAATTTTGGTAGCATAATTATTAATGTAGAATGTATGTTCCTTGCTAAAGAACATTATTTTTTATAAATTGTAAATTATAAATTTAAATAAATTGAGTAAACTTATGCTTTAAATCACTTTATTTTAGTTTTGTTAAAAACCTGAAGAAAATGGGATAGTAAGACATTTATGGCTCCTGATCACTAATTTCTATGGAAAGCTGCAAAGACCTGGACGTATGGTACAAATACCAATCAACAGAAAAGCCAGACCAAAGCCAGTGCATGCCCCGCTTTATTTATTTATTACAGGTACTTATATAGCGCCGTCAATTTATGCAGCGCTTTACATATATATTGTACATTCACATCAGTCCCTAACCCTCAAGGGGTGTACAATCTAAAGTCCCTAACTTACATTCATACATACACATACTAGGGCCAATTTAGACAGGATCCAATTAACCTACCAGCATGTCTTTGGAGTGTGGGAGGAATCCAGAGTACCCAGAGGAAACCCACGCAGGCACAGGGAGAACATGCAAACTCCAGGCAGGTGGTGTCGTGGCTGGGATTCAAACCAACGACCCGAGTACTGCCAGGCGGAAGTGCTAACCATTTAGCCACTGTGCTGCCCCTTGGACCAGTATTTGAGATTTGGTGTTTTCCTGGTTCCATAGAACTTGGTGGTTTGTCTTCCTGGTGTATATATAAAAATCTAGCTCCTTTATGGCCTACATTTGGCTTTTAAACTAAGAAAATGTAAAATGTAGAATATGTTCTTATAAATGGTTCCCTACAATGCCCTATTATACAGATCAGAAACAACTTAAATAATTTACGATTACAGTTACAGAGTTATAACACAGGTCACTGATGGTGTTTTGAAGTTACTTTACTGGGAGAAGAGAGGTAGTTGAAGGTGTATGTGTGTGAGAGACAACTGTAACAGCCAGTGCAATCTTGCCTCCATCCACTTGTGTTGCAAAATGACTATGTGGAGAAACATGAAGGATTTTGGAGGGTTTAGTTCACTGGAGAGACTTGGCTCTGACTGCAGGTGGGCTAAAAAAAATACAATTCCTAATAGGGTAGCAGCAGATATAGGTTTTTCAGGCTGAGATGGGAATAATTCTCTCTTTTTGCAGGGAGACCAGGACGTAGCATACTGTAACCCACCTGTGTGCAGGGAGAGCACAGAGGGTGATAACTTTATCTGGAAGCAGAGGGATGCTATCCTTGAACCTTGGACTGTGATCCGAACTGTGGGGAGCCTGCTGTGCAGCAAGGAGATACACACTGGGGATACCACTAGGGAAGCACTTTATGCCAAGCATGGGGACTGAAAGCTGCTGTGTACACAGGACTGGTGAGTGGCCACTGGCCAACCATACACTGCAGCTACTAGGAACAGAGACAAATTTAGCAAATAGGAACACTTTAACCCTGCGTGCAAAACTCATCAAGTGTGCCTACGCAAGGTTGTGGACCCCATCTAGCTGGCCCACAGAAGGTGTATAAAAAGTATTTCTTTATTACTGACTGCTGCTGTGGAAATGCCCTATAGGTTCTTATACTCGTTGGAGTTGCCCATAGTAGATGGGAAAAAAAGATACTGTTTTCCACCTGTTTAGTAAACTGTTCAGCTGTTGCATTATCACGATCTGATTGTGTTTTACCCGTTGTAGTACAATATTTTTCTAATTGATTTCCATTGCCCCATTTTCTTCCACATTCATCTGTGGCAATATACAGTATATACTTTAATACTGGTAAATGGTTTGGCATCATTTGTATTACTGTGTCTTGGAGTTATATTCATAAATGTAAACGCAAGCACAGGTATCTGCAACCACATCCTCATCCCAACCAGATATGTCAGAGAGTACAAAGCTGCTCACAGAGTCGGGGGGCACAAGAACAGGGGACCCAACACATCAAGAGGCTCCTACTGGGTTAAACGCTACATTTACTTATCTGAATTTGTTGTTGCTTGGGCAGCAGAAAGAATTATGGTCATCCTACATCTGTGTTCATAATATAAATATGTGTTATGTTTTATACATTGATAACCAAATGTACAGCTTACAGTAACTTTGTTTTCTGATGGAAAATGTATGTTTGCATACATGTTGGTGGAAACAAAGGTCTTCATGCAGTATAATGTCGGATAGTTTTTCAAAAAAATTAGATTGCTTCAACGGATGATTTCTTCCATTTTGGGATTTACAAATGAGAACTTGCTGAACATAGTTTGGTCCATACTGCTGATCAATGTTCTGTCTGTGCTTGATAATCTTGCTTTCTCATTCAAAAATTCCTTATCAAAGTTACTGCAGTCATTTGCCGATTTCTGGTTGGAAAAGAAACAATTATCAAAAATTGCTGATAGAAGTATCACAGCAAAAATGATAAGTAAATCCAGATAAAAGAAGTATAAATTATTCTTTAGCTCGTTTATTGTAACTGTATGGCAGACAGTTTTGGAAAGAAAATTTGTGTCTCTGGGTAGAGATTATTATGAAGTCATTTTACACTGAATCCTTGTCCTGCTAATCAGTGGGAACATCTATACTCCATTGTGAGCTCTCAGAACAGAATGCTTACCACTTTAGGCTTAAATGGTGGTTCTATTTGTCTCTTCTCCAATTTCTCCCAATCAATGTCTTGGAAGAAGCAATGCTGCCTGATGTTGCCTTTTATTCCAAGCCTTTTTTCTGGTTCTCTGACAAAAAGCTGACATATACAATCAGAATCAGTACAAATTTGTGAATATTCATGAAAAGTAGACCTATAGGCAAAATACAACATTTAACATGGTAACTAGGCTGGTAATAGGAGTGCATTACCCAGTATGTTTTTCTTTGTAACCTGTGTCACAGTAAGAAAATACCCAGTGATTCTGCCAGCAGAACAATACATGATGTATTTTCTATGAATGAATAACAGTGATCCTTGTGCTGTGGAAAGCACTGCAGTTGTGTCATGCTTGTGCCAGTGTACTCATTAGGACTACAGCGGGATGGGGTAATGGTGGTAAATGGTCAGTCTCTAGCTCAGCCAGCCATTCTTAACTAGGGTTCTTCCAGAGTTTGGTAGGGGTTCCTTGACCTGTGACTAATTGATCTCCCATCTGATGGTGCCCACACAATTCTGGGGCCAACACCACTTGGAAGAAATAGCAACATGACACCAATGATCTTTTTGGTCAGTCATTCTCACCCAAGGTTCCTCCAGAGATTGCTTACGGTTCTCCCATCTAATGGTGCCTGCATAGATCTTGGGACTAATGCCACTTGGAAGACCCAGCAGCAAGGCATCTATGTTCTTGTTGGTTTATGGTAAAGTTGACATTTTGACCATCACTGTAATGCAGGCAGGCATTCTTCTCAATTGTGCCCCTGATGACATGAAAATTATTTTAAGGGTTCCTCTGGGGTTAGAAGGTTGAGAAAGGCTGCTCTTGCTAGCCAATCAATGGCTGGCTTACCTATCTTCACTTCATTTGCCAGCAAGCCCTTTAGAAGCACATTCTGCCCAGTGGTCATGGAAAATGTAGTTTCAGTAGGAGCTTGCATGTCATTTCCCCTGAAGCAACCTACCCACTTCTATTTCTAACATCTGGTAATATGTGCACATGAGCCAGATATCCACCACCTGTTTCTTAGCAATGTCAGGGTAAACCTAAGACATCCTAATAGAAAAAAGCACTGTTAGAGAATAGTGTGTGCTGTGATGAAACGTTCCCCTTAAAGAATATGAAAACACTGTTACGGTTTAAAAAAGGCATATGCACTTTTATGCATTAAAACAATATACAGATTTAGAAAAGATGTGATAAAGAGGGTAATGTTGCATACCATGATTAATATATCTTTAGCTTCCTTGCTAAGAAAACGGGGATAAAATGGGTCATCCATGCGTATAGACTGAAACAACTGTTCTTCATCTATGCCGCGGAATGGAGACTGGCCAATTAACATTTCATAGAGGAGTACTCCGAAAGACCACCAATCAACTGAATAGCTGTACTTCTGTCCTAATAAAATCTGCAGGAGAATATAGAAATAGTAATTTTGCCTAGGCATAAGTTGAGACAAGATTTCAAGTTCAACAGCAGGAAATTCATATGGATATTTTCTCTATATGACATGAGGATGGCAGGCACTTCTGTGTGAGTGACAGGACAGGTATCACTATAGTAAAATAAATAGCAGCTAGACTCAAAATATGTTTATTTAGCAGAGCAGCCAGCAATTGCAATTGGTTGCCAGGTGTTACAGCATATCCTTACAACTCACTGACTGGTTGTTAGACGTTACAGCACACAGTAAGGCTTACTGATTAGTTGCTAGAGGTTACAGCACATGATTTCTGCTTGCTGATTGGTTGCTAAAGGTTACTACACATCATTACTGCTCATTGGTTGGTTGCTAAAGGTTACTGCACATCATTACTGGTCACTGATTGGTTGCTAGAGGTTATGCCACATTATTACCACTTACTGATTGGCTGCTAGAGGTTACTGCACATCATTACTGCTCACGCATTCGTTGCTAGAGATTACTGCACATCCTTACTACTCACTGATTGTTTAGTAGAGTTTTATTATTATTATACAGTATTTATTATACAGTATAATATGCACATCATTACCGCTCACTGGTTGCTAGAGGTTACTGTACATTATTACTGCTCACTGATTGGTTGCTGTTAGTTACTGTGCATCATTACCACTTACTTATTGATTGCTAGAGGTTACAGTACATCATTACAGCTCACTAATTGGTTGCTGAAGGTTACAGCACATCATCTCCTCACTGCCTGCATAACTTGGACTAAGAAGGTGAGGGGAAGCACTAATAGACAGAAAACTCCTAGGATTCTAGGACTCCTGGAATCAGTGGCAGTGGGGGGGGGGGTGGGGGGAGGGGGTGATCAGTGGCAGTGCTGAGGGGTTAATGGGATCAGTGTAAGTGGTGGGGGGATGGGATCATTGGCAGTGGTGGGGGGGATGGGATACATTGCAGTGCTGGGGGGGATGGGATGAGTGACAGTGCTGCTGGAAGGATGGGATCAGTGGCAGTACTTGGGGGAATGGGATCAGTGACAGTGCTGGATGGGGATAGGAGATGACATTTCTACATCGACCTACCAACGTAAGAGGAGATTTACAGTGACCACCAGTGTAAGGACAATTCTGCACTTGCCACCAATGTAAAGGGGAATTTACAGTGACCACCAATGTAATGGAGGATTTTACACCAACAACCAATCATTTTCTACACTGGCCACTAATGTAAGGGGGAATTCAACACTGATCACACATGCAAGTTAGGATTTTTTTATCGACTACCAATATAAAGAGGAGTTTCTACAGTGACCACCAATGTAAAGGGGATTTACACTTACCACTAATCTAAAAGGACCACTCACAGTGACCACCAATGCGAGGAGGGATTTACACTGACCACCAACAATAGCTTTCTTCTTGCCACTCTTGTATAAAGGCCAGATTTGTGGAGCGCACGACTCATAGTTGTCCTCTGGACAGATTCTCCCACCTTAGCTTTGGATGTCTGCAGCTCCTCCAGAGTTACCATGGACCTCTTGGCTGCTTCTCTGATTAATGCTCTCTTTGCCTGGCCTGTCAAGTTAGGTGGACAGCCATGTCTTGGTAGGTTTGCAGTTGTGCCATACTCATTTTTGGATGATGAATTGAACAGTACTCTGTGAGATGTTCAAAGCTTGGGATATTTTTTTAGAACCTAACCCTGCTTTAAACGTCTCCAAAACTTTATCCCTCTTCTGTCTGGTGTGTTCATTGGCCTTCATGATTGTCATGTATCACATGACTGTCATATGCCTTTAAGTGTTCTTTATATTTTGTCTCTGCTCCTCCCTTTCCTCTGGTTTAGTTCATGCTGTATAGATAGCCCCACCCTTTTTCCCAGTAATGCATTTCAGCTTCTAGCTTCATGTCTTATGGAAGCAGATCACATTATGGTCTTTTGACCTATCCGATGTTCATTGTTGTAAGATTCTCTCAGGTTATGGAATAAACTTCACAAGATCTACAAGATATCATCTGGATTGAGTCACTGTCTGTGTTATTCAAATAAGATTGGAGTTATTGCTATCTCATCACTACTGTAAGTTACAGAGATCACACTTTAAATGCTTAGATTGGAGAGATAGAACAGTCAAAAGATCAGTGAAATGTCTTCATAGAATCCTTGCTAGCTTTGAATACACAGTGAGATGTTATGTGGACAGCTAACAGAGTGCAGCCATCTCTACACAAGCATGTACATGTCTGCAAGTATATCTCAGCATAACACTCATCAGTGTCAGGACAAATTATTGATGTGAATGTCTTACACCTGCAAGTTTATACACTGCATCTGTATGCATTAGCACATGGCTTGTCTGTGAAATCTTGTAAGAAAGTGAAAGAAAACTTTTCTGCAACCATTGCCTAGGAAACCTGAGCTCACCCACCAAAAAAATTATACATTTCTCTGTAAACTTTCTATCAACCCCTCTCCTTGCTAACATGATGTTTCAGGAAAGTAATATACAGTCTGAGGAAACTAATACACAACCACAATCAGAGCTTCATTCAGAGCAGGACTTAGATAAAAGAGAAAAACGCTTAACAAAACCAAGCTGGAAAATGCAAGAGAATCTTAATGCTGACAAGTTAGAATGCTGTCTAATATTAATGACTTATGGTCTAATACTGTTAAACGCATGTCTGCTCTCTCCCAACAATCTCATGAGCCAATACAACTAAAGGGCGCTATCCAGCACATCAGAAAGCAGAGAAAGAAGCTGAAGCCACACGCCAAAAGGCAGGAATTGAAGTTTTGGAAAAACAATGTGAGCATGCCACAGCCATGGCAAGGTTAAGGATCTTAGAACAAGCCACTAGTGAAAATGAAAGAGACAACAGTTCCAGACACTCAGTTGTATCTTATGTCTCAGATTCTTCACACACCTCTCCAGAACGTCAACTCCCTGTCACAGCAGCCAAAGTACTCAATCAAAGTCTCTTCTCCGCACCTACTGTACCTCAAGACAATTTGCCCTTATATCCTCCAATACATCAGACTGCAGCATCTCAGCTAGCCGCAGACACTGGTGTGTATTTAATAGACCATCCACCATACTTTGGCACCAACAGAATACCTCCTAGCAAACGCACTACTCTACAAACTAACATTCCAATGGACTTTAAGCCAGTTCCAGCATTGAATGCCTTAGCAGCAACATATATTCCCACGTCACGCCACGTAAGTCCACCAACCGTCACAACCAACTCTCTTCCACCTGCAGTCATGCAACCAAAATCAGAAAACACAATTTGCTAAATACATGCTTTGCAAAGAACTTAAGACAAGCCTCACCAAGTTTGATGACAAGCCTGTAAATTACAGAGGCTGGAAATCCACTTTTAAAGGCCACAATGAGTGACCTAGACATCAATGCCACAGAGGAATTAGATCTACTCATCAGATGGCTAGGTCCCCAGTCCACTGAATGCATCAAGAGGCTCAAAGCAGTTCATATTGACAACCCTGCTGCAGGCCTTAATGCTGCTTGGGGCAGACTTGAACATACCTTTGGCAGCCCAGAGGCCATTGAAGAAGCTTTATTCAAAAGGTTGCAAAGCTTCCCAAGGATTTAAAGTTTCAAGAACTCAGCAATGTTCTATTAGAGCTTCAACTTGCTAAGGCTGACATCAACTTACCTGGTCTCAGGTACCTTGACACCTCTCACGGCATCAAATCTATTGTTCTCAAGCTACCATATTGAATTCAAGAAAGATGGGCAGCGCTTGGATCAAACTATAAGGAAGAACATAGGGTTGCCTTTCCTCCTTTTTCCTACTTCTGTGAGTTCATCAAAGAATTGCAGACACTAAGAATGACCCAAGTTTCTCATATGGGGACTGTAACCTTCTCATTACACTCTCACCAAGACCTACAAACACAGGTATGTCGCACAGAGACTATAGAGGTCCAGTGTTAGTGAAAAGGACTAATATTCTACCTGTGCCTGCTACAGTTCTTGAAAAGACTGATCAAATCAAGAAAATTGAGGACCCAAATTGGCAATGTCCAATACATAACAAACCACATCCACTTAAGAAATATATAGCCTTCAGAAAGAAAACCCTCTAAGAACGTAAGGAACTTTTGAAGAAATTTTGGGTTTGCTACAAATGCTGTGCCTCCATAGAACACTTTGCAAAGGACTGTAAAGCGATCATCAAATGTATAGAGTGTGACAGTGATGACCATGTGCAAGCTCTTCATCAATATTCGCACAACTCTACTACGCTCACAAACAATCTTCCTGAGGTAAAGCAAGGCAGGGAGCGCCCATATCAAGCAGCACCTACCACCCCAGTGTTCTCTACATGTACAGATGTTTGTGGAGAAGGATTCTGAGACAAATGCTGTGCAAAGATATGCTTGGTCCGTGTATACCCCAAAGGTCAACCTGAAAAGGCCATAAGACTATATAATATTCTGGATGATCAGAGTAACTGATCTCTTGCAAGAACACAGTTTTTTGAACTGTTGAACATAACTGGAGATGCTCTGCCTTATACCCTAAGCACTTGTGCCAGCACTACAGAAGTCTTAGGCAGGAGAGCCAGTGGTCTTGTAGTTACTCCTCTGAATGAATGTGGAAATATCTTTGCCCACCATAACTGAGTGCAACCAGATTCCAAACACCAAAGAGGAAATCCCTACTCCTGAAGCTGCTTTTCACCATTCTCACTTAAAGCACATAGCCAACCAAATACCAACCCTCGATGAAAGTGCCGATATCTGTCTGTTACTTGGTCGAGACATCCTAAGGGTGCACAAAGTTTGTCATCAAATCAACAGTCCACACAATGCACCATATGCTCAGCATCTGGACCTAGGATGGGTCATCATAGGCAATGTCTGCCTAGACAAGAAACAGGAGGTCCTACTCACTCTCTTCCTTTAAAACATGTCCTGTCAAATGGGTGAACAACTTGTTCTGCACAACGACCACATAAATATATTGTGAAAGAAAGACTGTTTGAAAAAAGTGCACAACGACACATCATACAAGACAATAAGAAAGCTCTTGATCTCTGGGATGACAATATTGGCAACACAGTGTTCGAGGTAACCACTAAAGACAATGAGTTGGCAGCTACCATACCAGACAAAGGATTTTTGAAAACCATGAGTAAAGAGTTCTACCAAGATGATTCCAACAGTTGGGTAGCACCTCTACCATTTCATACCCCATGAAAGAGACTACCAAACAATAGGGTACACGCTGAATCACAGTTTGTTTCTTTAAATCGCAGTTTGAACCAGAAGCCTGAGATTAAAAAGCACTTTGTGGACTTTATTTTGAGAGAGATCATGCTGAGCCTACACCTCCTCTTACAGAAGGAGAAGAATGTTGGTACCTACCATGCTTTGGTATCTACCATCCTCACAAGCCTGATCAGATTAGGGTGGTCTTTGACTCAAGTGCTCATCATAAAGGTGTCTCCCTCAATGACAATCTTCTCACTGGGCCTAATCTTAACAACAATCTCATAGGAGTTTTACTTTGCTTCAGACAAGAGCCAATTGCTGTTATGGCTGACATTCAGCAGATGTTCAACTGTTTCATCGTCCATGAAGACTACATAAACTTCCTCAGGTTCCGATGGTACTGCAATAATGATGTCAAGGATGAAGTCATAGACTACCAATGAAGGTACATGTTTTTGGTAAAAGTCCTTCTCCTGCAGTAGCAATTTATGGACTGAGGAAAACAGCTCAAGAGGGTGAGAAAGAATTTGGATCTGATGCAAGACAGTTCGTTAAAAGGAATTTCTATGTAGATGACGAACTGAAATATCTTTGCCCAATGAAGAAGAAGCTCTTGACCTTCTTACTAGAACCCAGAACATGCTTGCCACTGCAAACCTCAGACTTCACAAAATCATCTCTAACAGCGACAAGGTCAGGATAGCCTTTCCTTTTGATGACCATGCTGTCAGTGTGAAGAAATTCCAACTAGGATCTGACCTTTGTTTTACACAATGCAGTCTTGGATTGCTTTGGAATGTTAAACAAGACAAATTCGCATTTCAAGCATCAGCTTGTGACAAGCCCTTCACAAAGTGAGGAGTGTTGTCTACAGTGAACAGCATTTATGATCCCTTAGGTTTCATTACACCTCTCACCATTCAGGGTAAGATACTGCTGAGACAACTTACTTCTGAAAGCTCAGAATGGGATACCCCCTTACCCAAGGAGAAACAACAAAGGTGGGAAACCTTGAAACAGTCTCTAAAAGCATTAAAACAACTCCAAATAGCACACTCTTACACCCAAGCATCCTTAAAGAATGCCACCAGAAGAGAAATTCATGTCTTCTCTGATGCATCAAACACAGCCATTGCTGCGGTGGCATATCTTCAAGCTACGGATCCCAGCGGTGAAGTGGGTGTAGGATTTATCATGGGCAAGACCAAGCTCACACCAAAACCTGCACATACTATTCCAAGGCTTGAACTTTGTGCAGCTGTGTTAGCTGTGGAAATTGCTGAGCTTATAGAACTTGAAACAGATGTTGAAATAGACACCTTTGACTTTCATACAGACGGCAAAAATAGTGCTAGGATATATACACAATTACACAAGACAGTTCTATGTGTATGTCGGCAACAGAGTGGAACGCATAAGGAAGTTCTCTACGCCTGAACAATGGCACTATGTTCCCACTAGCCTCAACCCTGCTGACTGCGGCAGTCGTGCAGTACCTACTACTGCATTTTGGGACACATCTTGGCTATATCCACCATGAAAGAAGGTTCTGCACACCTTTACTCCAGGCCTATAAAGGAACTAGTACTTCTTTTCCCCAAAGAGGAAGACAAGTCAGCAACTTGATTTAAAGGGAGGTAAGAAGGAATAGTGCATGTTGCTGCCTTCCCCTCTGAATATGGATTTCCATGTCTCAGCCTGGACTTTCGAGACCAACATCTGCAAGTATTATGCTAAATGTTTGCATTGTTTTCCTTTGTTATTCCTTTCTTTCTCGTTTTGCAGATGTTCCTGGAAAGAGTCTTCATTACTTATATTGGACTTGAACTAAAGTTTGTTATAATAGAAATCCTAGATTTCGACGGGGAGTGTCATGTTTCACATGACTGTCATATGCCTTTAAGTGTTCTTTATATTTTGTCTCTGCTCCTCCCTTTCCTCTGGTTTAGTTCTGGTTGTATAGATAGCCCCACCCTTTTTCCCAGTAATGCATTTCAGCTTCTAGCCGCATGTCTTATGGAAGCAGATCACATTATGATATTTTGACCTATCCGATGTTCATTGTTGTAAGATTCTCTCAGTTTATGGAATAAACTTCACAAGATCTACAAGACATGATCTGGACTGGGACACTGCCTGTGTTATTCAACTAAGATTGGAGTTTTCACTATCTCATCACAACTGTAAGATACAGAGATCACACTTTCAATGCTTAGATTGGAGAGACAGAATGATGCTGTTTGTTCACTAATGTTCTCTAACAAAACTCTGAGGGCTTCACAGAACAGCTGTATTTGTACTGAGATTAAATTACACACAAATTAAATTACTAATTATTTGACTTCTGAAGGTGATCGGTTTCCACTAGATTTTAGTTAGAGGTATCAGAGTAAAGGGGGCTGAATACAAATGAATGCAACACTTTTCAGATATTTATTTGTAAAAAATTTTTTAAAAACCATTTATCATTTTCCTTCCACTTCACAATTATGTGCCACTTTGTGTTGGTCTATTACATAAAATCCAAATAAAATACATTTACATTTTTTGGTTGTAGCATGAAAATATTTGGAAAATTTCAAGGGGTATGAGTACTTTTTCAAGGCACTGTATACAGATAATTTTTTCTACAGGTTAGGCAGGATAGGTAGGAGTTGGGAAAAAGGGAATATTGTTAAGAATAGTTAGATTTCAACTTTTCTTCAATTTATTCTTCCACTTACAGTGGGGCAAAAAAAAAGTATTTAGTCAGCCACCAATTGCGCAATTTCTCCCACTTAAAAAGATGAGAGAGGCCTGTAATTGGCATCATAGGTAGACCTCAACTATGAGAGACAAAATGAGAAAAAAAATCCAGACAATCACATTGGCTGATTTGGAAAGAATTTATTTGCAAATTATGGTGGAAAATAAGTATTTGGTCACCTACAAACAAGCAAGATTTCTGGCTCTCACAGACCTGTACCTTCTTCTTTAAGAGGCTCCTCTGTCCTGCACTCATTACCTGTATCAATGGCACCTGTTTGCACTTGTTATCAGTATAAAAGACACCTGTCCACAACCTCAAACAGTCACACTCCAAACTCCACTATGGTGAAGACCAAAGAGCTGTCGAAGGACACCAGAAACAAAATTGTAGACCTGCACCAGGCTGGGAAGACTGAATCTGCAATAGGCAAGCAGCTTGGTGTGAACAAATCAACTGTGGGAGCAATAATTAGAAAATGGAAGACATACAAGACCACTGATAATCTCCCTCGATCTGGGGCTCCACGCAAGATCTCACCCCGTGGGGTCAAAATGATCACAAGAACAATGAGCAAAAATCCCAGGACCACACGGGGGGACCTAGTGAATGACCTGCAGAGAGCTGGGACCAACGTAACAAAGGCTACCATCAGTAACACACTACGCCGCCAGGGATTCAGATCCTGCAGTGCCAGACGTGTCCCCCTGCTTAAGCCAGTACATGTCCGGGCCCATCTGAAGTTTGCTAGAGAGCATTTGGATGATCCAGAAGAGGATTGGGAGAATGTCATATGGTCAGATGAAACCAAAATAGAACTGTTTGGTAGAAACACAACTCGTCGTGTTTGGAGGAGAGAGAATGCGGAGTTGCATCCAAAGAACACCATACCTACTGTGAAGCATGGGGGGTGGCAACATCATGCTTTGGGGCTGTTTCTCCGCAAAGGGACCAGGACGACTGATCCATGTACAGGACAGAATGAATGGGGCCATGTATCGTGAGATTTTGAGTGCAAACCTTCTTCCATCAGCAAGGGCATTGAAGATGAAACGTGGCTGGGTCTTCCAACATGACAATGATCCCAAAAACATACCGCCCGGGCAACGAAGGAGTGGTTTCATAAGAAGCATTTCAAGGTCCTGGAGTGGCCTAGCCAGTCTCCAGATCTCAACCCCATAGAAAACCTTTGGAGGGAGTTGAAAGTCCGTGTTGCCCAGCGACAGCCCCAAAACATCACTGCTCTAGAGGAGATTTGCATGGAGGAATGGGCCAACATACCAGCAACAGTGTGTGCCAACCTTGTGAAGACTTACAGGAAACGTCTGTCTTTGCCAACAAAGGATATATAACAAAGTATTGAGATGAACTTTTGATATTGACCAAATACTTATTTTCCACCATAATTTTCAAATAAATTCTTTCCAAATCAGCCAATATGATTGTCTGGATTTTTTTTCTCATTTTGTCTCTCATAGTTGAGGTTTACCTGTGATGCCAATTACAGGCCTCTCTCATCGTTTTAAGTGGGAGAACTTGCACAATTGGTGGCTGACTAAATACTTTTTTGCCCCACTGTATATTATACCAGAGCTATCATGTAGGGCAGCGCATGATACACACCTCTGGAGCAATATAGTCAGGGGTCCCACAGAATGTGCTTGTTTTAATATCACCAAACATGCTCTCTTTACACATTCCAAAGTCAGCTATTTTCACATGTCCTTCCATGTCCAAGAGCACATTATCTAGCTTCAGGTCCCTGAAAAATATTACAGTGCCCACAAATTATTAAATATCAGAGCAAAAATTAACTGCATTTTTTTACTTGAAATACAGAATTCTATTTAATTGCAAAGACAACAAATGAGCAGATAGGACACAAAATAGCCAATACATAATTTAAAGCGTATGCAAATACGGGGAAGGGCAATACCCTCTAAATTTCTATTCCTGTCTGTATCTCCACTGAGAAGATTTACCCCACCATGTGTCTTGGTGACTACTAAAAGTGAAAGAAAACCTAGAATTTTAAATTTGTCACCAGATCAGAAGATGACGGTAAGTCTTCCAATGAGGACACATGATCTGGTGACAACTGAATGAGAAGGGAATTCTTCTTACTTTGGGGCAATTTGCTCCCAATCCCTGTTGCTTCTCTAATACAGGAAATAATGGAATATCTCCCTAATTTAACACAGATGGCAAAAATAATCTGATAGGGGTTTTAACCCTTTCATACTCTAACCAAAAGTAAAAAAAAAATACATAATTATTCTAAACACTCTCCAGTGATCTAAATAAGCTTCCTGTGCCATTAAACAAAGCACAGGAAACAGTCTGGAGTGTCATACGCCACATTAATTAAGCAGATAGACCTGTTTCAGGTTAATCTGAGTCACCCATGTCAGTTTCTGTTTCAGAGCTTCTTTGTTAATTCCTTTCTTTGCGGGTGATTCCAAAACCTTGACAAAATATATCCCTGCTATGCAAAGTAAGAAAATGTGTGAGATCATTTCTCTTTGGTTGGTACTTGAAATATTAAGAGGTGATTTTTTTTTTCTGTGTGGGCTGGTGTCTGTTCTGTATTGGCGGTGGGAGATGGTGCCTTTCATTTTTACAACACAAGGCACTGTTTACTTTTTCCTTTTAAACTTTGTTGAATTATTACAAAATTATATTTCATTCATCTCTACACACTGCATGGAGGATGATTTCAGGAGAATGCCAATGTGGTACGGAAAAATGCAGACATGCAACATTTACTGATATACATTATTTATCTTCCCCATCTTTCATTGTCCTTGTTTTCAGGGTGGACTCACACTTTAAGGGCATATTTGCCTTATTGCATCACACGCAACATCATTCTGAGTGGCACCCCAACACACTCTAGATAGGGATTACATAGTAAACATTGTTAGGCACACATTTAACCCCTTGTTCACTCTAGATGTTAACCCCTTCCCAGCCAATGTCATTAGTACAGTAACAGTGTATAGTATTATCACTGATCACTGTATTAATGTCACTGGAAATTTCAGTGGCAGTTAGTCATTTCTCCCCAGCAACAGTTAGTGTCAGATTACCCGCTGCACTATTGCAGACCCATTATAAGTCACTGATCATCACTATTAGTATTATTTTAAAAAATTCAGTATATATGCCATAGCTTGTAGGCGCTATACCTTTCACACAAACCAATCAATGTAAACTTATTGGGATTTTTTTTTAATCAAAAACATGTAGCAGAATACATTTTGGCCAAAATTTATGAAGAAATTTAACTTTTTGTTTTTTTAATTGGATATGTTTTGTAGCAGAAAATAAAACATATTTGTATTTCAAAACTTTCGGTCTTTTTTTGTTTATATTGCAAAAAACTAAAAACCCAGTGGTGATCAAATACCACCAATAGAAGGCTCTATTTGTGTGAAAAAAAAATTATATAAATTTAGTTTGGGTATAGAGTTGCATGGCAGCACAATTACCAGTAAAAAAGCATCACAGTGCTAAATAGCAAAAAAATGGTCTGGTCATGAAGGGGGTAAAATCTAAATGGTTATTGCACAAAAGTTTGCTTGGAAAATATAAATACACATTTAGACCACACAAACAATAAGTGTACTTCAGAACACTGACACACTAAGAAGTACTTGGCAAATATGTGCTTTTATAAAGGGATTTTAAAAACTTTTGAAGCACTAACCTATGAAGTTTTTGACATGATATAAGTGACATCTTGAAATAGAACACAACATTAAACATAGAGCATTTTCAGATGTTTGTATGTTTTTTCACAGCCTACGTATTGTCAGTGTCTTGTTAAATAAAAAAAATTATATTGTACTTTAACCTCGTCGCTTTTACCTGTAAACCACTCCTTTGGAATGAAGAAACTGGAGGCCACAGATGATTTCTGCAGCATAAAACCTACAAAGCCATCAAGAAAAAAAAAAAAACAGTTCAATTATCAAAAGAGAGAGAAAAAAAACACAAGAATCAGTTCAATAATTAATACACTGTGAACATTAGTTAATAATACATCAATTCTTTCAATATAACACACAATAGTAATATGACTGTTACGCCCTCTATTGTAAGATAGTTTTTGTTTTGTTTATAGTTAGAGGCTTGCTAGAAGCCCGGATATGACTCAGCCTGGGAGTGAGTCAGTGAGGTTACTGGAGGTCTCTGATACCTCCCCCGTGCTCTAGAAACTTGGAGAAGTTTCTAGAAGCCAGTAGGCATGGGTAAGGAGTTGCTGATCTGCATACTTAGGGGAAATTGGCCAATCTCCAGGCAGGAGGCCTGGCATGATGGCTAGGTTAGCCCTGAAATATGAGAGAGCCTTGTCAGCTGGGGAGTTGGGACCAAGTGCTCCATGCAAAGACTGTAGACTGTGTGCTGATTTTTGTACTTTTTGTGCCTGAGAAGCTGTCTTACAAGTTGTGTCAGTTTCATTGGGCATCCTCATATAACCTTAGACCCTATCCAAGTTGTCAACCCTTTAATAAAACATAAAAAAAACAACTGTTTACTGGCTGTGTAAAATACATGTTACCTGGCTGTGCAGAGCTTAGTGGGACCCAAAAACTCAGCAGCCCTCAAGAGGGCAACACTACATGACAATATCATCAACATAATATCACCAGCAAAAAATCTTTTACCATATTGTAGCAAGAGAGTCAGTCTGTGTTTTGTGGTTTCTTCTGTGGGTCCAGACATAGGAATGTGGTTTAGATTTTTAAGAACTACACTCTCAGCGGTGTAAGTCTGATACAAAGCATACTGTCTGGCACGTGGTAATTTTTGTTTCCACTGGTTGTTGTGTATCTATGCTTCGTGATATCTAACAGTCATATGGGGTTTATTGTAAATAGTGCTTAATGTTTGTATGAGTTCATATTATTGATGATGTCTAGCCTTTTTATCAGTATATGTAGGTCTACAGTATTTACGTCCACCCAAAGAATGCAAGGGGTCAAGAAGCTGGCATGGCATACGTGGACTTTCCACAGAAACCAGATATAATTCCCTGGCTTTACCATTGGTGGTTCACTAAAGTTACCAGTTTACATTCATGTAGAGCACTTTTGTCATCAGTTCTTTTTCCTTTTTCTTTCTAAGGCCTCATGCAGACCAGGCTTAAAAAACTCTGCATATACGTGTATTTGACATTTTATTCAGCCCGTAAAAGTATCTCTATGTTATCCTATGGGATTGATTTACTAAAACTGAAGAGTGCAAGATCTCGTGCAGTTGTGCTTAGAAACCAATCAGATTCCAGGTTTTATTGACAAAGCTTCATTGAACAAGCTTGAAGTTAGAAGCTGATTGCCTACCATGCACAGCTGCACCAGATTTTGCACTCTGTGGTTTTAGTAAATCAATCCTTTCGTGTCCATGCACATATAGGTGTTTACCGGCGTATTAAAAAAACAGCATTTATAGGCTGAAAAAGAAAAATCCATCCCCAGTGTGTTTAGGAGAGGAACTGAAGGGCAGAAAATATGCTGGATGCTAAACATGTGTAAACGTGCCTAAACAGTAGACACCTCTAGTGTTTGGGCAATAAAGTATCCCAAAGGCCAGAATACATTAATATTCTTTCCAAGGGGATCAATTAACATTAAAACACCTGACTCACCTAAACACATGTGCAATACACGATTTTAGGTGTGTTTTTTTAAGCAGATTTTCTCCTGCCAGCAGTTTTGGCATTCAGAGAAGAAAAATGAACGCCCTGTGTGCATGAGGCTTAATACTTAGGAGTCTCTTTTCTAACCTCTTGTTTGCTTCTATACCATTCTCTGTCAATTTTATTTTAATTACTCTTTTGTGAAAAAGTTTTTGAATCCCATATACCCAGCTCAAAGGTAGTGGTGTCAGTATGCCTCAGTTAACTTGGCAATAGCTCTGTGCCTAATTTTGTTTGACATTGGCCCTGAGAACTACAACCACACTTCACTAGTGCTTCAAAGTTAAAAAAATGTAACTAAAGGCTACATTGTTTTTTTTTTTGGATAGTGTAAGGGAGGATTATAACTTTTTTTGCCATATGTGTCCCAAAAATTTCCCTTTATTCCTGTCCCATAGCCAAAACAGGAATTGAGAGGAAATCCCACCAAAGTGAGGGAATCCCAGTGTGTTACCAGTTTACCAGAACTAGTGTCCCAATTGGAAAACTTCCCCTCTATTAGTGTTCAGATGTCAAGCCAAAATTTAGGATTTTCTTTTACTTTCACTTGCAATGATAACGGTAAGCATGACAAATAGAGAGAGTGGTTCTCCCTAATGGGGGTTCAGACAGCAATAAAAACTGTTAGGTGCTCTAATTGCGCTCCACTCCATTCAAAACTAAAAAAAACAAAAAGGTTTTGCCTTTAGTTGTACTTTAACATTCTCAGGACAAGGATTTTTTTTCAAAGGCATATTATGGTCACAAAGTGTTTCCATGCCTCATCATTCTAAGGTGGGTCATAGGCAAACGTAGATTATCATACTATATTATTGGTTTAATATTATATTATTACAGTATCTCTGAGCATATGAGGCAGAAGCTAAAGCTGGTGTTATTGGAGTATTTGAAGGAGGGGGCATTGCTGTTCATGAAGATCACATAAATGATTTGTAGTTTATAAAGCCTATAGTCAATAATGGGAAACACCATAAATGGAATACAGAATAGTGAATGTGTATGTTGGGTAATGCAGTTGTTGGGAGTATTGGGTCCATTTTTTCTTTCAACTCACAAAACTGACTCATCTATGGCCAGCCTAGAGTCCATGGGTCAAGTCGGGAGAACATACCACATGTATGCCCAGCCAAAAGATACTCCACTATGGACAATTATTGGTAAACTTAAATTAATGTATTCCTCTTAAATTCATTATCTGCAAAAGACTTCATCTTCAGTTTATCCATAGACAGACATTCAAACTAAAAATAAAGATCCTTGAAAGACATGCCTGGTTCAAATAGTGCAACTATTTATTTCTCTAAACATGCAAGATTAACATGCTGAGGTTCCCCTTTCAAGTAAGAAAAGGTAACATCTGTGTGATGGTGTCATTATGTAGGTCCTGTACAGATAACAATGACTATTTAGACCCATGACAAAGCAAGTACATTTCTGATCCTAACAATTTCACTGCAATCATCCTGAAGACATCTGAGAACTGAATCATCATGCTGTGAGGACTGGCTATCTGATATTTAAAAGTTATATTTAGGATCTTACTTTGATCTGTGGAGGTCAAACTTCTGGCAGCTTTGGATATGGAACATGAGATCCCCACCATTGAGATATTCCATGACAAAAAACAGGTTCTCCTTTTAAAAAAGAAGGAAACATTAATTCAAAATGTTATTAAATTGTACTACTTACAGTATGTGTATAAAATAATTTCTAATATATATGGTATATTATTTTTTTTTTCCTGAGCACACATTTTGGAAGTGTTGTCTGATCTGTCTTGCATAAGAAATTATTATATAATAATACACAATTAAACTTAGTATATTAACAATTTGTTAAAAGCTGAATACATGTTTGCTGATATATATCCAAATATCAGTGAGGAAAATAATAAAGCAGAACTATACTCTCCTTCACTCCAGTGCTGCGGTGTCCCAGAGCTTCCTGCTGGCCACTGACTTCTTCGGCTTTTTTCTATGGTCATACCAAGATGACATCACTCCCGCACATATGCTGGAATTTATTCATCTTAGCTTTGCAAAAATTGTACACTGAGCTGTATAGGCTGTCTCTTCTGCATTAAAAATCCTGCCAGTTTGCCATTTTTTTTTAATTTTCTTCTATTTTCAAGTTCCACTTTAATAAATAGTTTTCTCTTACCTCCATCTTACTGGCCCCGTGCATTTTTGATGTCCGCAGACAATTAAATAGGATGTTTGAGCCCAATGGCAAACATACAAACCTTTACCCAAGGTTCACACCTAAGCGTTTTCTGCAGCGTGTCGGAGTATAGCCCATTAAACATGATTTCCTATGTGACATGTTCAAACCTGTGTGTTTTCACCAGGTGCGTTGTTTGGAAAGGGGTAGGGATTTTTTTGAACGCAAAAAGCTTTTGTTTCTATGTATTTCACTGGAAATGCTGCAGAAAAGCATGTATTTTGCTGTGTTTTTTATGTGTTTTTGCCACGTTTTAATGTGTTTTTGATGCGTTTTGCCTAGCAACAAGAAAATAAAAAAAAAAATTGGAAAAAAAAAAATGCAAAACACATCAAAAACGCTTCAAAACATGTAAAAAACACAAGTGCAAAAATGAAAAATGCAATTCAAAGAGCAATGCATAAACAGTTCAAATGCAACCTTCATAGGTGTGAACCTAGCCTTATACCTAGTCCGTCTAAACAATATTTTTACCTGATTTTTGTATACACATTCACAAATAGTTGTAACAATAGCTGTAACCATTCATACTTAATAATCTTTTGTGCTTGTGTATGGCCTGTTTCACGTGGGCTTCAGCTTTTATAGGAGCAGTGTGAACAGCTAGCTTTGGCAAAGCATTAGCACAGCTTTCAGCAAGCTTCGTTGAAGCTTTCAAAGTAACATTCCAGTTTGTAAATGTTGAACACAAATGCAAATGGCTGTGCTGATTGCCACTTTAAGCAAGCTGCTAGCAGGCTTCAGCAAACTTTCAACAAGCTTTAAGAAGTGCTGAAGCCTGCTAGCAACTTGCTTAAAGTGGCAGTCAACACTCCCATTAGGATTTGTGTTCAACATTTACAAACTGGAGTTGAATAGTACTTTAACATCTTCAACAAAGTTTGCCAAAAGCTCTGGAAATGCTTTGTCAATGCTTGCTATTCACACTGATCTTATACAAGCTGAAGCCTGGGTGTAACAGGCTTATGAGTATTTTAGCAAAGTGTAAACAAAGAACATTTTCCACAAACCACTTTCATGATTCACATACTTCTGCCAGAAAAACACAGTTTCCTATTTTACAGTTAATGAATACAGTGGTATCACCTCATTGCACTGTGACTGCTGATTAGACATTGAAGGAGCAGCAGCACACTAATACATCATACACTCTGCTCACTGTGGTCTCCTGTCTACCAGCATGTAACCAGTCAGTAATTGTGCATGCAGCAGAGCATGATTGCCTTTTGGTGCTCCCCCTCCCTCTTCTAGTCTGAGTGCTGCTGTGCAGGGGATAACAGGCTCAGATGAAGACAGACACTTAAGTTAGTTGAATGTACATGTAATTATTTAAAAATATGCATTAAATTGTTTTGCTATAGCTGTCTGTAGTTCATATGTGATATCATTATTAAGGCGTCAATCATACATCAGTGAATTACTGAAATCTCATATATGGATTTTTAGTGTGTTAAATAGTCAGACTGCTCCCATTTTTTCAGTAAATGAAAGGCCTATTGACTATCAGCAGGCTTCTTTTATCAAAAGGTTATGATTTGCTGGAGCACTGAGTGACCACTGAGTTGAAAGAAAGGTTACCAAGAACATTGATTCTGAATCAGCATGACTCCTTGTATTAAAAGGTGGTAGAAATCTTTACATTTCATCTTTCTATCACACTATTCTTCATATTCTGTCTTGTTTTTAAATGCTTTTTGAATGAAATGTGTTCAGTGGCAAAATGAAAACACAGCAACTGGCCAGTAAGTGGGCTGAAAGCATAACTATACTTAAAGCGGAACTTCACTTTTTCAAAACAATATTGAATATTTTTAATCCTTGCATTATTAAATACATAGGAAAGTATATCATATTCTTGCTTTAAACTTTTTTTTACATTTCTTCAGTTACTTCCTGGTCTCCATGCCTAGGCAAATTATGTCATACATATCAGGAGCGGTTAGGAGGGGAGGGTTCTCAGCCCAGCGAATGCCTGACCTAAGGGCAGATGGATTCCTGAAAGTAAATGCTACACGAATCATCTGCCCTTACTCAAGATGGCCACGGCCGGAATCATCAGGGGGCATTATTCAAAATGAATTCTCAGAAAAATAAAGCAACGAGACATGGATGGATGGGGGAGTTTGCTTTGAATATTAACCACTTCTGCGCCCCACCCTATAGCAGAAATACTGACACAGGGCCATGCCGGGCGTGCAAAATCATGTATATATATATGTGATTTTGCAGTTCCGGGTAGGGGCTGCCACCATTAACGGCCTCAGCTGTCAATCACCGGGTTCCTGCCGGTGATTCCCTGCCCAGCACCCGGCGATCTCCGAGTATTACCGATGGGGGGGAAAGACCTGTATAAAAACAAATACAGATCTCTCCCTTGTCAGCTCCTGCTCACTGCTTGTATGACTTTGCATAGCAAAGCCATACAAAGCATTGTACTTACAGTGAAACACACACAGCCCACATAGTGAAACAGTACACAGTTAACCCTTTGATCGCCCCACATGGTAACCCCTTCCTGCTCAGTGCCATTAGTACAGTGTCGGTGACACCTAGGCAGTTCCCCCCGTGTCAGAATGCCCGCCGCAGTCCCGCAAAAGTCGCTGATCACCGCCATTACTAGTAAAAAAAGAAAAAGAAAAATTCCAGTATATATACACACCGCCATTTGTAAACACTATAACTTTCACGTAAACCAATTAATTTACACGTATTGGGACTTTTTAGCAAAGACATGTAGCAGATTACATTATGGCCTAAATTTATGACAAAATTTGATTTTTTTTTTTACTGGACATGTTTAATAACAATAAGTCAAATATATAGTTTTTTTTTTCAAAATTGTCAGTCTTTTTTTTGTTTATAGCGCAAAAAAATAAAAACGCACAATCGATCAAATATCACCAAAAGAAAGCGCTATTTGTGGTGAAAAAAGGATGTAAATTTCATTTGGGTGTAGCATTGCATGCCCGCACAATGGCCAGTTAAAATAATGCAGTGCCGTATCAAAAAAAAATGTCCTGGTCAGGAAGGGGGGGTAAATCCTCTGGAGGGCAAGTGGTTAATAATGAATTAAATAGCACTTTTGGTTTGTGTGGTGCTCAGATGCAGTGCAGTTCCACTTTAAGTTATTCTCTCTCCCTCAATACCAACATTTCCATGCTTCTGCCTGATTCCGATCTGTCCCTTTTGAAAAAAATCCATTCGATTCCAATGGAGAGGCCATGTTTTGAAGGAATGCATAACAGTTGGTCTCTTAATAGGAGTTTCCTGTGTATGTGCAAAAGCAGCAAGGGACTGGCCAGAAAATGATCCTTTCAATGGTATGTTCAACAGACCGAGAGGTAGCCAATAACAGAAGTTCATTGTTAAGGATTACATACACTTTAATTTAGGATCAGGTAACTGAAAAACTCCCTAGGGTTTGACATTTATCTATTAATGATATGTCAAGTTTTCCATAAAAATGAACAAGCAGCAGCACACCAATGTCGTCACTTAAATCAAATCATCTTTATTCCACAATACATGAAGACGGTCATCTTTCACCCTTTCAGGCTTGATCGTAGAGATCTCTTTTTTGGTCTTTAGGGAGGGATTATCAGTGTGTTTTGTCTTATGGAATAAAGTGACTTTGATTCAAGTATCATCAATAGTGCTTGGCCGCTCTTTCATTTCATGTGTACACGCAGGGAGGACAGGCTTTTTTTTGTGGCCATGTACCCGACCTTCAAGAGACATGAGTTACTACAGTCTGGAGAAATAAAATTTCTTTATTATGTCAAGTTTGTTTTACATTTCAATTTATGATTTCTGTTTACTTCAACTATTGTACAATAGTGTACTGCTTTTCTATTAGTTTCACTGATATGTATAATATTTACAATACACTCAACGCTACCTGCAAAACGTTGCTTTAACAAGTGAAGATGGCCATAGATGAATCAAAATTCGTCCAGTTCAGCAGGAATTGGCAGAATTTCGATCTATTTATGGTCAGGATGGTTGTACTGAAGTTGATCTATGGAGTGACTTCAGTACAACCAGCCTGTTTTTTCTTAATGCAATCCCTGCCAGAGCCAGCAGTGATCATTGTATTCTGCCGCTGAGGAAGGCTTCAGGAGGGGTTCTTCCATTAACACTGACTGTGTTGATGGAGGAATCAAGCAATTTTTGTTCCTTCGACCAGGGAACCAAGAAAATTGCATAATGTATGGCTAGTCCTAAGTACTGTTTATTTGTTATACATTTTTATTAAGGACCAAACTTGACCTTACCTCTCCTCTCTAAACATTTCAAACAAGGAACAGTATGTGCCTTCCAAGGCCTGAATGTTAAGACAGCCTTACCTTAGTCTGAAATGTACAGTATAGATGTGTCAGGAAAGGGTGTTCCCATGCCAGAGAAAGAACTCTTTTCTCCACCATGGTGCATTCAACATCATCATCCATGAGCACAACATCTTTCTTTAGGACTTTAACAGCAAAAAAGTGGTCGGTTCCCTTCAGCTCTGCAAGAAAAACCTTAAAACAAAACACATGATTTTCTTGTTTGGAAACTGGACCATTTTCAATCAATCAATCAATCAATCAATCATTCTCACATCTGCAGTTACCTATTTTCATTATAATATGTCCCTTTCACCAAATCAGATTCCAAACATTGTTTTTTTTGTGTGTGCACCTAGAAACTACAAGGCAGACATTGGTTTTAGAATGCAGTATACTGTATATATTGTAGGCATTAGATTTCTTTTTATTTAAATGCTTTTATGTGCAACGCAATGCATGGAAATGTCCATGTAAAGACATGTACCTACCTGTAAAAAAAAGAAAAAGAAATGCACCTGTCCTTCAGCACACCACAACACACAGAAGTGGCGCATTGTGATGTAATTCATTTTTAAGTGCATTGAGGCTTGTTAGGGAAAAGCATGGAAAATTGTTCATTAACAAGCTTGCATTACTGCGCATATGTGTGCATCTACCTTGTGTGGTGGACATAGTTGATACAAAGTATTGATTGGCTGAACACACCCCTTTTCGGTTTGCGGTCAGACATTCAAACCTAATGAAAGTTTGACCGTGAACTTCAAACTTAATGCAAGTCTATGGGACTTGAACTTGTAAATTCCATTTTGAAGGATTATATAGAAGTTATTGGCCATAAAAGGGGTATGGGGTATGGGGACTCGTCCTGTGGGACATGAATCAGTGAAAAAAAAATGTCAAAAAGTACTGTTTTTTAAAGAAGCAGTCATTTTTCACTGCTTAAAGTGAAGAAAAAAAAATTAAAAATTCCTTTAAATAAGGGGTCCCCTTAAACTACGTACAAAGTTACACATCTGTACAATGTATAGAACCTGCTGCAACAGACTGACATATTTTGGAAGAAATTACATTTTTATTAAAAAAAAAAAAAAAAAAGCATGGGGACCCCCCCCCCCAATCCATACCAGACCCTTTCGGTCTGGTTGGATAGTTAGGAGGGACCCTACAGTGCAAAATTAAAAAAAAAAAGTGTGTGGAGTTCACCCCAAAAGCCATACCAGGCCCTTTAGGCATGATGGGACTTTTAATGGGAACCCCACCCCCCAAAAAATTGGGGGAAAATAGCTTGAGGTCCCCCCTAAATTCCTACCAGAGCCTTGATCTGAGCACAAACCTGGAAGGCCAGGAAAGGGGAGAGGGATTGGGTGAGCAAGTGCCCCCCCTCCTGAACTGTACCGGGCCACATGCCCTAAACATGGGGGAGTGCTTTGAGGTAGGGGGGTTCCCCCCCAAAGCGCCTTGTCCACTTCACAAGGGTACTATGTATCCCATACTCATTCACAAGGGGGCCCCCAGATCCTGCCCCCCCCCCCCTTGTGAGTATGGGTCGGGATACATAGTACCCCTACCCATTCACCAAAAAAGTGTAAAATGTGAATAAAAACAGTTTTTGACAAGTTCTTTATTAAAAAAAAAAGGAAAAAAAAATGGTTCCAGTGTTGTAACCCATCGTCAAACACGGCATCCAGAGTTGTCACGCCAACACCGACTTGCTGAAATGAAAAAAAACCTGCCGCCCGCCGACCCGTCTGAACCCACCGTGCACTTGCCGCTATCTGACATTTGCCAGCCAAATGTAAACAATTGGGTGGACCTAGGTGATGTCACCACTAGCTCCCCCAATTGTGCTGTGATTGGCCAAAGCATTGCACCTGACCTATGTTCAGGTGCATTGCGGGGCACGGCAGACGAACAGCCTGCCGAATGCCCTTACCAGTTGTGCGTTCACCGAACACACGAACGGCCGATGTTTGATTCGAACTTGTGTTCGACTCGGACATCAAGGACATCATTAATACAAAGTAAATATCAGTATCTGCTTAGATGTGTTGTACAACAGAAGTTTAACTTCAGTGTAAGTGGTAACAATATGGCAAATGCTAAGAAATGCCAGGAAAAAGAGAAAGTTAAGTGGTCAGTAATAAATGAGAGTTTCTTCTCGAACCATTTCCTTTTTCACCACTAATAATTTTGTTTGCAACAATATTACATAGATCTGAAGACAGAGACATATAAAATGCTAAAATAATAACATGTTATATTAAAGTAGAATTAATGTAGACGATCATTCCATCTAATAAGGAAAGTGCAGCTTTTAAGCTGGTAGCATTTCATCTACTATTCTCTCACTCCTAATTCCTGGGGCTCAATTACTGTTGCTGTTTTATATTGCTGTCGTTCTAAAGTTTCTCACATAGCTGATAGTCTAGCAGAGATAACTTCTCATACAACTGCACTGCATTCCTGTGCAAACCACATGCAATTTCTGTGCGGTGCAATTTGAGCCATACATTTTGTATGGCTCAAATCGCACCGCATCAGAAAAGTGCAGGACCCTTTTTCAGCCTGAGTTCACACTGATGTGGTGCAGGACCCTTTTTTAATCCACACTGTCACGACCCGCGGCCGCCGCCACCAACAGGCGACAATCGCACAGCCGCGACTAACAGTAATACCCCAGACCTTCTCACCAAACTCGTGACCGAAGGGCCGGCCGATCCAAAACCGCGGTGTGACGCGCATAACAAGGCCCCACCCAGCTGCACCCTACAACACAGCGATTGCCCAGATAATGGTCTACAATCGGTGCCTGCAGCCTGAATGCGCTTGTTACTGGGTCGGGTTAGTTGCGCAACTAACCCTCTACTGCCACCACCACTTTTGTCGGAGACTGGGAAACTCCCGTTATCAAATATACACTATAATGATTGAAATATTGATCTATATAGCAACGGCCCGCGGACCTACTATACAGAGATATACAAACAGTAGCGTCTCTTCAAAGGCAGGGATTCGTGAATTACAAGTAAGCGCTTAGAAACAGTTTAACACTTTCAGAAAGAAAGATTTATTCTAACAGGGTCAAACAGATGCAAATAAATATTTACAAAGATGTCACAAAAATATATATATGTATATAAAGACACAGCAAACATAGAATAGCGAGGGAATTACAGGGTAAGTTACTTGCCTTGCCTGGTTTTAGCAAATTCAAGAAGCAGAGCAGAAAGGTTCTTTGATCTCCTCTGTTACGATGTTACCTCAGAGATCTCTGCGTGTGTGTGTGTTAAAAAACTTTCACTCTCTCGAAAGTCCCTCTCAAAGGGGAAGGGGCTCTGACTACACCTTTTGGGAGTGGTCATTGGGAAACTCTAACTAAATTACCAGTTTCATATCCCATGATATGAACCATACAGTTGACCTGAGGAATGTTCAGTCCTGGGTCAGTTTGATAATGTGTGGGCTTACATAGCTGTGGGTGACCAAAGTGACACCTCCGCAGAGGGGCTGGCTCCACTTCTCCTGTCTTAGCCTGGTTGTTCCACATCATCTGCCAGGAGATAAAGTCTGCCTCACAGGAATGCAAGGGGGGGGGGGGGGGATGTGAGGAATGATTCAAAGAATACCTCAATTACAACAAGGTAAAGGAGAACTCTGCTTCCCAGCTAGGATGAGCTAGTTTGATACGATGCAGAATTCCACACACCAGAATCGGATCGCATGTGTGTTTACACCCATGCGATACGATTCTGCACATTGCACCCCATTTTGTGGACTGATTTTGGGGTGTCGTTAACTTAAAGTACACACCCACAGTGGTTTGTATGAATGGGGTGCGATTATGATGCAGTACAGAATTCCACACCACATCAGCGTGAACCTGGGCTAAAAAAGGGTCCTGTACCTTTTTGGTGATGGTGTGATTTGAGCCATACAAAGTGTATGGCTTAAATCGCACACCGCACAGACATTTGCATGTAATTGTATAGAAATGCGGTGCGATTCCTGTGCGAATTATATGCGGTGTCCCAAACCGCATAGTGTGCACCCGGGCTCAAGCTTGAAAGCCTGCTAAAGCAGCTTTCTTAAAATAGAACTATAGGTAAAACATTTTTTTTTTTTTCATTTTGGATAGAGTAAGGGAGAGTTATATTTTTATTGTTGTTAATTACATTATACAAATACCATTACATTACTAACACAAATCAACTAATATTCATAACAAATTTTATTTACTTTCCCTCTCCCCCCACCACCCATATTTCCCCTTCCCATTCTCTAATTTCACAAATGCTCATGCTCACTAATTACGATAACCTCTTTTCGCCCCATTTCTTCCTCTCCTTCATCAACCCCTGTCAGTTTTTTTTTGCCATCTGTGTCCCATTGCAGAGATTTCCCTTCACTTCCTGTCTCATAGCCAACTAGGAAGTGAGAGGAAATCCCTGCAAATGAAGGGAATCCCTTGGGGACCCCTAGGTCACCGGAACTGGTGAGCCAATTAGAAAATTCCTTTACTTTTCTGGGGGCAAAGCAAAATTTGGGATTTTCTTTTACTTTCACTTTTAATACTAATGGTAATCACTAAAAATAGAGAGGATGAATCTCTCGGGGACACAGACAGCAATAAAAACTATCCAAAACTAAAAAAAAAGTTTTGCCTCTAGTTACACTTTAAATTGTCAATCAACATTTTCAATATGTTCTATGTTCAACATTTACTTTAAAAAGCTTTCTGAAAGCTCTGCATATGCTTTGTCAAAGCTTGCTGTTCCCACTGCTCCTATACAAGCTGAAGCCTGTAAGAAAAAGGCCTATACAATAAGTCCTCTACTTACGAACAGTCAAGTTGCAAACTTTCAAAGATACGAACAACCTCCAAGTTGCGAACTTTCAAAGATGCGAACATGCATTCACCTGCCAAATCATGAAAGTAGCTCCCGTGTCTGCCCGACATTGCTGAGTGCACCCTCTGCCACAAGTGGTTGTTCTGCTGTGTATAGTACAACAGTGTACAGTAGTACAGTGTTGATTTCAAGCCTAGGATGTCTGGAATCAAGCAGAAAAGCAGCGGTCTTATCTGGTCACTCCATGCCAGCCCCTTTATGTCAGCTGTTGTACTGTACGACTGTACCTTTCAAGGTACTGTAAGCTTAAACATCCTTTGTTTACAGTATTTCTTGTGTTTTTTATGCATTATTTGTGCGAAAAGTGCCATAAACCTTACTTTGTTGGACTTACAAACAAATTGGACTTCCGAACAAACTCCCAGAAGAGAACTCGTTCGTAAGTAGGGGACTTACTGTATAGGGTCTTCCTTGGAACCCCAGCAACTGTACCTCTAGCTTGGCACTCCAAAGTTTGTCCTCATGCACAGCTATTAGGCTCCATGCACACTGGGCGTTTTAATATCGCTGGTAACTTTAGCTGTGTAAAGTCACATTCAAAACTTGAGTTTTTCAGAATTTTTTTTTAGAGTTTTTGCCTTAGCGTGTAGCGGCATTTGTGCATTTTTAGCGGGGTTTTTTTACCCGCAAAAATATTTTTTGGGGTAAAAAAAAAGTCCAAAAATGCCGGTTTGCCACGATTTACTGCATTTTTCAGTTTTAGAGCATTTTTACAGCTAAAAAAACTCCTCTAGAAACCCAATAGTCCAGCCAAAAAACGGCGATTACAGTCTATGTGTGCATGGACACATAGGATAACATGCTGGGGGGTTTACTGGCTGTAGAAAAAAACATCAAAAGCCAAAAACAGCGCTGTAAAAACATCCAGTGTGCATTAGGACTAATTGTCTGGATCACATTACAAGGATAGCTGTGCTCCCTTTCATAGGAATGAAATAAAAAATATTTACTCAATCAACAGCAAAATCTACATACATAAGTCCTTTAATTAAATCATGGCCTTTACTGTAATTAGAGATAAAAGAAAAAATAGACAGAGAGGACAGACAAAAGATTACCTTTCCAAAACTTCCTTTTCCCAGCATTTTATGGAGAATAAAGTCATTGAATGACAGTGTGATGTGGCTGCGTGGTTCCTCTTCTATCCTTCTAGTCTCTGTCCCAGGCTCAGCTGTAGTTTCTGGGCATTTGGCTTCTTCCACTGGGGACTCCCAAAAAATGCCTTGGGACTCTGTTTTTTGCAAGGTACAGATACAGTAAGTATTATTCTAGTGGTTACTGTAATACTAAATGTTGGAAGATGTTTATAACTTTTTATTCTTTATTTTTTTACTACTTTTCAGCTAATGAAAATATTAAATGTGGAACAAGTACGTTAATTTTTAAGAGGGCTGTAGAAAGCCTTGACTTATAAAGGGGATGTAATAGCTGTGATCTTTTGCCATCTCATGTAACAGGTCTCCAGGCTATGACTGTGTCCTGAAGCATGTCCCAAGTCTCAAACAACCCCTATAGCATGTTTGCAGTCTCTGACTATATCCTGTTGTATGTTTTCAGTAATTGAATATATTCAGCTTTCTGTAGTATTACATTCACTAAGTGTGGGTCATTGGTAATGTCTGGGCCACAGACGAGACCCCCTATATCAAGTAAGTTATAAGCTTTTTAATATTCCTGTGACTACATCATTCAACAAATGTTACGTAAAATTAACCTGCATATCCAGTTCTTTAATTTTAGAAGTTCATTAAGTCAGGCCCTTCTGGACACAAGTATTGATTTCCTGGTTTTGTTAATCTTGTTGGTCTACAAATTTCATGCAGGAAAAGTACAGGCTTTGGTGACCCTGAAATCCTGCTTGAAACATTCAACATATGACATGTACCTTTCCTCGCAGATACTAATGGCTGTTTTTCTTCTGTTTCTCTGTGACCAACTTCAAGTGGACCTTGCCTGTAAATTTGTTCACATTCTCTTTGTCTCCTATCCTGGAAGGGGGAAAAGAGGTCACAAGACGCATAACAAACATGCTGCCAATTTGTTCACCATAATAATTGCTCTCCTTTTTAAGATTTGTCAGTGGTAAGCACTAAGGATATTTCAGATCTCCATTTATTCAAAAAATTACCTACGAGACATGACTGTTCAAGCTATAATGGCAGTTTTATGGATGTAGAAGATTTGTTTAATTCTTGAAAAAAAAAAACAGCTGATATTATTAACACTATTTATAGTATTACCATAAATATTATATAGTCAGGTAAATATCACAAAAACTAATGAGCTACAAAAGAGTGAACCTGATTTGAAGGGTTTACCAATTTCAAGATTTTCCAAGATTGGAGGAAATTTACTGCCTATACCAAACCGGTCATCAAAGCATTGATTGGTGGCTTTACTTAACAGCCTCAAATTTCCTTTCCTCGGGTTTTATATATGAGCCTTGATATGAACCAGTTGCTCCAAGGGCAAGCTTTTTGCATAGATCTTAGGAAATTGGGCTTAGAAAATAATTTGATCCCACAACGTAACTATGGATTTTCAAATAGTTAATTTAGGGGTTAGGGTAAATTTACGTTTAAGGGACAGGAGTTAAAGTAATACTTTAGATTTAGAAAGTGTTTTAGAATTGATTGAGGTTTATTTTCATGAATTTATTTTCAGGGTGAGAGTTAGGAAGTAGCTATGTGTTAAGTTTTAAAGTTAGGTTAAGGCTAAGCATTGGGGATTATAAGTAAAGATTTATTTAGAGGTTAGGTTAAGTTTTATGGTTCAGATGAGGGTAAGGTTAAATGTTAGGGTTTGCCTAAAGCTGGACTTATGTATGAGGGGAATTCAAGTCAAACCAGGACTTTTGAGTTTATATAATAAAAGAACAAATTTCAAGGAGTGGAAACTGCATTTATTTTTCCACATACTCCCCTGCTACTTTTCTACACTTATCCCAGCATTTACCTAATACCTGGAAAGCTTCAGCATAGAAAGATTTGTCAGTACACCTGAACCATCCTAGGACAACCTGCTTCACTTCTTCATCAGTGCTAAAATGCTGATCTCCGAGGAACTCTTTTAGGGGTCCAAACAGGTGGAAATCACTCGGAGAGAGGTCCGGCTGTAAGGGGGATGTGGCAATACCTCCCAGCTGAGTTGCTGTAATGTGCAGTGCGGTGAGCAGTATGAGCTTGTGCATTTTCCTTGAGAAACATGATGCCCTTAGTGATCAAACCAGGCCATTTTGTCCGCAGGTGCGTATGCACATCACTCAGAACACAACAGTAATATTCACTGTTGATAGTGTCACCACAGGGTAGAAAATCCATATGAATAACGTCACGTTTGTCCCAGAAAACACTTGTCATCACTTTACCTGCAGATGCAATTCTTCAAAATTTTTTTGGAGGTAGTGAGTCTGCATTCTTCCACTGCTTTTATGCTCGTTTTAATTCTGGAGTCAATGTTCACAGGAATAACTACTGTGGGCTGGGAACCAACATGGCCTCGATGGTCACGTACAGATGTTTTTTAAGCTTTTATACAATTCAGATGTCTTACTACAGCTAAGTGTCTCATCACCGTACTGTGCTTGAAGTCCTCTGTAGATATCTGCAGATTTTACTCCTTCGTTCACCATGCACGCACTAACATTGTTGTATGGCATCTTGATTAACAGTCTCTGGACTGGCCCGTGACATCTGCACTGCCTATCAGTAATAGGACGTACTTGCCACTTACTACTGCGTGTAGTACCTCCACGCTAGCATCCCTTTTTATACCTGGAAAATTAAAAGTCCCAGTTTGGCTTGAATGCCCCTTTTGTTTTAGAATTTCTAACAGATTCCTCCATCAACATTAGATATCATGGCTGGACTAATCTTCTCTGCTGGCTATTGTATTGTGACAGCCAGTGGCCATCAGAATGTTCAAACAGTGCCTATATATGATGGGATGCAGTCGCTGTTCGGCGAACAGTTTTACATCTAACGCCAACAAAATATTTATTGTTTAATCATCTTTTGTTGAGCCAAGTGGTGCTGACTAAGGCACTCATGACTTGAATTCTGAGCTGAATCAGTCAAAACTCAAGCCATGCATGGCAACCTAATGGGATAAGATTACATTTTAAGGGAGATGACAGAAAACATTTTTACTTGTTTTAATGACCTGGAGCTTCACACTGATAACTACCAGTGGCAATGTTTCAGCACCAAAGCCAACATACCATCACCAATTGCTATAGACCTGATGTAAATTGTCCTCAGCTTTGGAAAGTATAGATGCTGTACATAGGTCAGTAATAGAACACTAAGAAGACAACACAAGTTTACCTGTTGTGTACTCTCTATCATGGCCAAAGCTTCTGCCATTAACTTTTGATTTATCCCACATAGGTTTGCTACTTTATTTTCACACTTATGATGGACGTTCATACCACATTCTGCATTAAACACATACGATAGACAAAAATGCATTAAGAAACCTAAATAGTTATAGTTAAACAAGTTTAATAATTGTAACTGTCAAAGCAATATGAAAAATATTATGCTTCTTCTTCTCATTATTCTCCTGAACAAGAGAGAATCAAAACTATTGTGTGTGCTACTGTCAGGTTCAGGCAAAAAGAGAGCAGGGTTTTTTTTTTAAAACAGTATACCAAACAAAAGTCTTGCCTTTTAGAAATGTAGAAATAATTTAAGTTGGCACATAAGTCATAGAGGTATAGTCAAGTTAACTGACTCATACTGCTAAATCTACCCTGGGCACCTAGACTTCAATGATCCGTGGTCATGAAAGGGTTAAGGTTGCTAATGTGCGCTGGATTTATATCTCCAGAGCATCTAGGTACACAAGTTGAATAACCCCCCCCCCCCCCCAGCTTAAATAATACTTGAATGTTTTCTTTGTCTCGGTCTGCACAGATTTTTGTGATATTGTGTAAATATTATTTTATCATCCTGCTGATGATGGGAGGAAAAATGTATTTCTGGAAAACAAACAAAAAAGCTGCTTCTTTGCTTCTGGTGGCTATAGGCAACCTGCCTGCTGTGCCTAACAGTAAATCCAGCCCTCTTGGAAAGATAATATGAACCTTTATCAGACTGGACAGCTTAAAAGCTAAAATTACATTGTTTTGCCACCTCTAACTATGTGTGTCACATGGGCTTGGCTGGCCATTTCCAGAGGCAGGTAGTACTACTGGACTGGAGGCAGGTAGTACTACTGGAGGCAGGTAGTAGATCTACTATTTCTGTAATTTCTCTGACCTCTGAAGGTTGCCTTCTGGGTTTATTAAACAAAGAACATTGGCCCTGATACACTAGAAATTTTTTACGTGAAAATATTAGCTAGTAGATTAATCTCAAATGGATGCAATCCTCCCCACCTTTGGTGCGCCAATGGGTACACGCAGTTAACTAAGTTATCTCAAATCCCATATGAAACATTCATTTATGAATTTAGAGGATGCCCTCGTAAACATAACAAAATCTTGTTTGGTGTGCATAAACTCTTACACTGACAACGTCTGGGAATTAACCCCTTTTTCTTTTTGTAGACTCTATGACATGTTGGGACTACAGTATGTCTGCCCTATGGCTGTATTATCGATGTTGACATAGTTTTAAATCCAGGAAACAATTGCTTGTTGTTCAGTTCAGTTTGTATTACTGGTTATTGAACTGATGCTGTACATGACGCACTAAGTTGGTGCTTTATGCTATTATCTGCTTGTTGTACTGTGAACCAAAGCTCTGTTATGGTACCTTTCTGCAATATATAGAGTTAAAAAAAAAAGCTAAAAATGAAATGTAATTTTCTAGCTATCAGTAGAACTTCCAGAAAAGACTGCAGTTATTTCCCACTCCCAATTACAATGCTCATCTGCTATCAGTAGGACTCAAGTACTTACCCGCACACTTTAGTCCTTGCTTTGCCAGTCCCCAGAGAAGTGTCCCACAGTGTTCACAGAATGTTGGGCTCTTATAATTGTACACTTTAAATCTGTGAGGCATGTCTATTTTAAATCTTTCTTTATGGAGCTGTAAAAATGGGACATTGAACAAAACTGAACATTTTATTCATCTGCATTCTTCTTAAATCTTCATAAAACACAAAGCTATAAATTCAAGGCCTTATACAAAAGCTAAGATTTATATATCTATATAGTTCTATTTCTAAGAGCTAACTACAGGATTACCAAGTGCTAAGTCTTGAAAAATAGGAACATTTAGAGAATGTTACCAAGTTGGTTTAAAGGGGAACTCTCCAGAAACAGATCTTTCTGTTTTGGATTGAGTAGGACAAGCAAGCTTCCACAGTCACTGGAGAAACATCTCTATAGTAACTAAGGAAGGCCCACACCTTCTACAATCTCTTTTGCAAACAACAGTGACTAAACAGAGCTTGGTAAACTGAATATACAACAGTACCTATATACAACTCCCTCCTCATTGGCCAGTCTTTACATAGGTTATCCTTCCTTCAGTCTATCATGAATTCTGCTGCCAAGCTCATTTACCTTCGCAACTGTTCAGTGTCTGCCATCCCTCTCTGCAAATCCCTCCATTGGCTTTGCCAAGGAATACAGTTTAAAATACTAATAAAATATAAAGCCATCCCAAGCTCTGTCAAAAGCTATATCACCTACCTCATCTCAAAATATCACCTAAGCCATCCTCTTTGCATCTCCCAAGACCTTTGATATATAGCTCCCTAGTCAATTGCTTTCATACTCACCTCTAGGACTTGTCCATAGCCTCTCCCATCCACTGGAACTCCCTACCCTAATCTGTCCAGCTATCATCTGCTCTGTTTGTCTTTATGAAAACTCATCTCCCCATGTAAAAGGGCACATTTACATGGGCAGCCAGGGCATGGTAAAAATAGTTGGTTAAGCCCCTTGACTGTCCTTGTTAAGCTGGATTGAAGTTGTACACCTTTAAAAAAATATACCTCATGTTGCATTCGGTGGGCAGTACTGTCACCAAACATGACTCATTTAAGTGAATAGGGCCGTGCTGCAATCGCCCTGCAATTGCATGTAATGCACGGTGGTGCAGGATTTTCAAGGTTAAGCCAGGCAGTGAGGAGGTGCTGATTCCTTTTCAAAGGGGTGGTAAGGACTGCCATGTGTGAGCGAGTCTATACTGTATTTTTACTTTCTCCATTATCCCTCTCAGTTATTAATTTTTGAATCACTTGACCCTCTCCTTTAGATTGTAAACTCTCACTAGCAAGGCCTGCTGAACCCTCTTGAATTATAATGTAATCGCACTGTCTCCATTTATTTTGTAAAGTGCTGCCTAAACTGTTGGCATCATATAAATTGTGTATAATAATAATTATCTAAAGTGATTAATTCTGTGGTCACAATATTAGATTTTACCATCTGGAGGCAATGTAGGTAAAAAAACAAGAGTTGTGTAAAGAGAGACTGCTCTGTGTTAGTACATGAAGACAAGAAAAATGTGATTTACAGTTAATCCTGCAGTATTATTGCAACTGAAGGAGCAGAGATAGTGCAGAGTTCTATACATATATCTTTTTACATATGGAATATACTTACTACTGTTTCGTTGCTGTTGACTGCAGATCCAGTGCACTTAGCGATAACTTTATCAATGCATTTCTTGTGAATGGCAGCATTGCACTCTAGTAATGAAAAAAAAATATATAAATTATACATGTATTCATTATTGTCAAAAGTAAAAAAAAAGTATTTTAAAAATTCTTACGTCGACATTGATAACCTTGCTTGTTAAGCCCCCTGAAAAAGATATATAACAAAATGTATTGTTAGTTGAAAATGCTTCTATACAGTATAATTCAGAGGAAGATCTCTGAGTAATATCAGTCAAAATACAATACATAAAACACTATGTAAACAAGTCTTTGATTTAATGTAGAGTTCAGTGGAGTTAAAATTGTTAAGGTCCCATTTGTACCCCCCTATTGAGGGTTCCCAGTGAAAGCCCTACAGCTAATTGTGGCAGCTTGCATGTTTCGCTCGAGCTCATGGAGACACAGAATTTACTAAGCTGGAGAGTCCAAAATCAGACTCCCTTCTGCATAGAAACCAATCAGCTTCTAACCTCAGCTTGTTCAATGAAGCTTTGGCAATGAAACCTGGAAGCTGATTGGTTTCTATGCAGAAGGGAGTCTGATTTTGGACTCTCCAGCTTTAGTAAATAAACCCCAGACAGTCTACAACCAGGGCTGTTCATTTACAGGTAATTGCAACTTGAGCATTTAAATGTAAGTGGCCATTTCCACCCACAGCTAATCTCCAGGTTGCGCTGGGTCTCCTACATGCAATCACTAATGGCTCAATTCGCAAGTGTGTAAATGCTATAGATGTGGTTTAGGGTAAGTGAAGCAAAACAAAAACAGACTAAATGCTCAACAATTTAACTTCTTTCAAAAAATAAAACTGCAATCTGATAGTAACAATCCTCCGAGCAACAGTTCCACTTTTATTTGCTTCAAATTTGGAATTTGGCTCCAGTGTATAACTCATCCCAGAGGTGGCACTAGGCTTTGTGAGGCCTTAGGCAACATTTAGACATGAGGCCCAACTCACTCCCATCTGTCTGTCCTACAGCTATGCTGCAGACTTTCCCAGATTGAGATCCTCATGTGGTGGATGGGAGGGGTGACATGCACAGAAGCAACATCACTCCTCAGTGGCAGGCCGCTGGAACACCAGAAGTCTTAGGTTACACGAGAGGTGAGTGTGACAGGGCTCTTAACACAGTCTGCACACAGCAGCGTTAACCAGTTCGGCTCCAGAGCAATGTTTTTTATTTTTCGCATACATGTAAACATCTCAATGTTTGGCAATAAAATTACTTAAACCCCCAGAACATTATATATTTTGTGAAAGAAGAGGCCATGTAGAATAAAAAGCTGATATTTGCACATTTGTATGCCACATGATATTTGCGCAACTGTTTATTAAATGCAAATTTTCAGGAAACTATATAATAAAATAAAATTTTTTTTTTATTTAAAAAAAAATAATTTAAAATTTAAAACACACAATAAAATACCCATTTTGGTTAAGATATAAAAGAAGAGGTTGCATCAAGTAAGTAGATACCAAACATTCTATGTCTTAAAATTGCGTGCGCCCGCGATATCACCAAAAACTACAGTGCCCATAAATCACAATAGGTGATGCTTTAAAAGCCTTTACAGCTCATCAATTTAGAGTCAACTAGGAGATCCTGTGCAAGAATTATTGTTCTCACTCTGATGTTCGCGGCGATATGTCACCCATGTGGTGTGACCATGGTTTACACACACGTGCACACCCTGGGCATTTGCGCAGGTGTGCAGGGCAGCAGGGGTTATGGAAATTTTTTTCAAAAATTGTAATATATTTTATTATAATTTTGATTTTTTAAACCTTTTTTCTTTTTTTATTTATTTTTACTTGATTACTATCACAAGGGGTTAATAAACCCCCATGTGATAGCATTGGGCAGGTGACAGGTGACCCCAATGTCTCCCCTGCCCTTCACATTATCTAACCAATCACAGATCGGCTTGGTTAGATGTGTCTTCTGTTTGGACTGGCCAGGAAATGGTGCATCTGAAACTAGAAGTGACATCACTTCCAGTTTCACTGTTTGCATGTGAGATCGAAACATGGATTTGCCTCGGTCTCATAGTGCTGTCCCTCCCCTAGCTGGCGGATGTGTTCTCGAGCTCAAGTAAGAGCAGGAGATCCTGGGAACCATAAGAGGAGGGTGGCCGGCATCACGCTGCTGGCTCTGTGAAAGTGATTGGCAGCTATAGAGCTGTCGCATCACTTTCACTTTCAAGCCGGCTGCATTAGGCAAATGAGGCCCCTCCGAGCGTGAGGCCTTAGGCGACTGCCTAATTTGTCGTATTAGAGAGCGCCTCTGCCCATACCTGCAGCGATGAAACTACACTAAAGGTGAAATTCCTCTCTAGCACTGAAAATACCTGTTTACAATACAACTTTACAAATTAAAATTGTCAATTTTGTCCTGGATGCAGTAGGGAAGGGTTAGAAACCTGCAAACTGTCTGTGCAACTACTAGGGAAATTTGCTCTTCCTATTTGTCCTTTTGACCAGAGCTCATGTACACCAGCAGCCTCACTGGACACACAGCTACTGGTGTACGCTGGGAAGACACAGTGCACACAGTTCCAAAGGGTCAATCACATCTCACTGTTATTTTTTTATCAGAATATCAGAACTTTATTGAGAATCGTTTGACAGGTAAGTCTGATAAATAACAGTATATGTACATTGTATATTACAGCATATATTTACTGTACCTTAGTCTTTTCTTGCTCATAGCTTATAGTGTTTCATTTTGGCTGCACAATTTGTAATGTACCATATACTGTACTAAGCAGCACCGACAAGCTCTTATAGGGAAACTCTAATGGTACAAGTTTGTAAAATCTATATATACAGTATATCACGGAAGTGAGTACACCTGTCACATTTTTACAGTGTCGTCACATGAAAAGATATAAAATATTTACAAAAATGTGAGGGGTGTACTCTCTTCTGTGAGATACTATAATATATATATATATATATATATATATATATATATATATATATATACACATACACATACTGTATATATATAAACACACACACATCCACAGGTTAGGTGAACAGCACTTCCCAAAGACCATACATATAAGAGATAAGTCTGGATTGCTGCACTTAAAATTTATTAAAGAAAGAAAAACTATGCAAATTGTTCCATTAATGTCTGCAACAGTTTCAGGCTAAAATGCTAATGTACTTCCTCAGGTAGGAAAATGAGGAAGGGCATTTGCATTTTATCCTGAAACTTTTGCAGACATTAATGGAACAATTTGCATTTTTTTTGGATTTGTTTTCTATGCTCTTTGGGAAGTTCTGTTCACCTCACCTGTGGATATATATATTTACAAACTTGTACCATTAGTGCAACAATCCTGGACCTATTTCTTAAACAGGGGCGGACTGACAACTCATGGGACCCCTGGCAATAGGGGATCATGGGGTGTGTGTGTTTGAAACTTTTATACTGCAAAAAAAATTAATTAAGGCTCATCCCATTGCATGTATTTTAACCTCCCTGGCGGTATGATTATTTCAGATTTTTGGTGCTGAAAGCGGTACCATTATTTTGCATGGAAATATGTATTTTTTTATTGTAGGCCTGTAATTTTTAGGAATAACTCACTGAAATCTGTCCGAACAAGAGTCTATTAAACATCCCGGGTATGATAAAATTTGAAACACGAAATCATAAATTATAATTGAATAAATAATCATAAAAAATAATAATATAATAAATTTAATTCAATAATATAATCAAACCAAAAACACTGAAATTTGAAATAGAGCGCCAAGTTCGCACATCGCTGAGCAAAGTCACAAAATCGTTTTCAGTGTCTGATGACGAATTTCCCCACGAATCATTATCACTCAATTCTGCAAGTGGTTCTGATTTACTATCGCTGTTCTCTAGCTGGTCTAAAACCACTTTTGACCTAAAGGGACACTTTTTGGACGCCATGGACTTTTCTCAGTTTCCAGGCAGAAAGAACAGACAAAATGCAGGCAGGGCACAGGACAAAGCACTAGGGACAAAATGTATGTGAAATGGGTTGAAACAGCAATGTTTTACTATGTAAAATTTGTTTGGAAAAAAATGACATTTTTTAAAATTTTCAAATTTCCTGCCGCGGGCGCACCCGTACGTCCCGACAACACAGGGACCGGAACACAGAAGCCGGATGCCGGCATCGGCCGGAGGAGATGGCCGGGGACGCTGCAGGGGACACATCGCGGGAGCACAGGACAAGGTAAGCTCTGCAGGGACTCCCTATGCAGCGCCACATGGTAAGCCCGAGTGTAGCTCGGGGGTTACCGCTTTTTTGGTATTGACATTTTACCCCGAGCTACACTCGGGAATACTGCTAGGGAGGTTAAAGAGAGCAAAAGGCTTTCTAATTAGTAGACACAGCACTGTTTTTTTAAGGCTAGGTTCACATCTGTGCGGGTGGTGCCACTGCGGATCCACACAAAAATCCGTGCAGCCGCACCACCGGCACAGAGGAATGCAACCTGCGGGTGGGTGCCATTAATTCTAATGGCACGCCGCCCGCACTGGAAAACGCAACCGTACTGGGAACCGAGGTTACTGCGTGGGCTGTGTTTTCCAAAGTGCACTGACTTCTTCCATGCGTGTTATGGGGCAGGGGAGTACATTCAAATTAATGAGCTCTTGTGCCCACGCAAAACGTGGCCCGCACAGCCACACATATGTGAACCAGGGCTTATTATTTCTTGCCGAATTAAAACTCCAGGTGGGTCCATAACTGCTAGCAGAAAAGGAAGGGTATGTGTCTCTCCACTGACTATTAGATGTTTACATGATCTGAATAGATCTGAATAGCAAGAGCTCAGTTTACACAGACTGTTCAGGCTATTCAGAGCATATCAGCATTTCAATGTACAAAAATCCTATAGTAATTAATATACAACATACCATGTATGTGGCTAAACAGAAATAAAAAGAATTTTAGTCCTGAGCATAAGTAGCAATGTTAAAGTACTGTCAAAGCCATTTTCTTTTAGTTTTAGATAGGGTACATTAGAGAAGAGTTAGAACCCCTGGCAGTTTTTTTTATTTTTACCCCTATACCTCTGCTGGAGAGATATGCCCTCTCACTTGATCCTGCTACGCATTGAAACCAGGACTAAAAGTGTAGGAAAACCCATCTGAACAAGGCATAAGAAGCCATTTTCTTTACTTTGGAAGGAGTTCTTCTCACTTGCTGCTGAAGTTCTCAGGACAGGAAGTAAATGTCAATCTTCCCCAATGCAAAAAACCATGATATGGGATTTAACTCTTCTCTAGTCCATCCCAAACTAAAAAAAAAGTTGGCTTTAGACATAATTTATTATATGCAGAGACACTACATATTGATTTTTTAACAATGGTGATTTGTAACCTGCAGTTGTGAACACATGTACAATACATTTTAATAGAATGTATGTATTTTGGGAGGAATAGTGGGAGCAGTTTTTTTTTTTTTAGCTGATGATTTATATATCACATTACAAAGTGAAAATGTAAGCATGATGTCACTGAGTACAGTACAGTAAGTCAGTGTATTTGAGGCACAGAAGTACAGGTGCAAAATCTAGGGCTCGGAGGCCTGTTACAGCTGTCCCATAATTCCCGGAAAGAGAAAATGTGGCCTTTACCACATGAACAGTCCTTGGTTAGAGGGCCTGTACCCATTTTCTCTCTTTGATTGTGAAAATGTATTACAATTTCAGTTATGTCAGCTACACTGCATGAAAATGCAGGTAGGTAGGGAATATGTCACCACTAAAGTATCTGATGTACTGCATAAGATATATGAAGATAGCATGTGGTAATTCTTACTAAAAAAATTCTTATTAGTCAGAGTTGGCCTCGAAATAATCTGCAGGACCTGGGTCATTTCAGTTCACTTGGGTGTTATGTTAAGTAGTGAGCAAGTGGCTTAGCACTCTGACTGTAGCTGGACCTGTTTACTGGTGATATTTGAGTATGACCTCAGAAAGGCCACTCCGTACAACTCAGAAATGAAGAGGATGATTCCAGCTGAAGGTTGGACAGCATTTCAGAGGGAAACCATTTCTATTTCATTTCACCTGAACTTAAAGACTTCTTAAAGCAAACATTTGCCAAGATTGTGTGCAATTTAAAGCGGTATTGAACCCAAAACCAAAAATGTAATATTTTGCAGCTTACCAATCATTAGATGTGGTTGCATTTAGTTTTTTTAAGCCTTTTTCTCCTCTGTTTTTACCTGGTGTTCTGGCCAGTAACACACCTCCTGTATTAGAATGCCTCCACTCTGAATGAAGGAGCACAGGGGGGGAGCCTGGCATTGCACCCACCATACACTAATCATGGGTGCAATGCTTTTCAGGCACCTATGCATTTATTATATTTCTGCAAAAGGTAGCCTAAAATATACTTGGGCAACAGCACTGCACTAGTTATGTGCTCCCTATTAGTTCCTGTTTCAATCTTCAAATTGATTCTCATGCCCTTGTACATAGAGCCTGGCATATACATGGTCACAGTTATGCCACTGTTGCTTTTATTCAAGGGTCAAATACCAGAGCTTCAGTGGGCAGTGTAGACATTTGACAGTGGAATGACAAGAGGTGGGGCTTAATCTCAATGTGTTAAGAAGATTATGCCCTGAAAGCGGTCTGGGCCTTGGGTCCAACTAGCTCCACATGCACATAGGGATCGAGCTGAAGACTGACATATGTACTTTCAGCAATGTGGCATTTCAGCACTGTTGTTATCTGTAAAAAATGTAAGGCCAGATCAGATTTCTTTTAAATCTTAAGTGGGCAGAATCTCCTTCTGAGCAATAGTAGGTACAGATATGTAGTTGGGAAATTAAATGCAAAGGAAAATGTATAACTAAAGTGTATATTACCCCAACATTTCTTATTTCTGACATGTGTCTGTTACCATGTACTTGTATTATGAAGTATCCTGATCTCTTTGCATTGCTTCCTTTTTGTTTAATACCTGATGCTCCTGCCAACCCTCTGCTTTTCTATTTTAAACTGACCACACCAGGGCATGAAGCACATCCATGCTAGCATGGTCGGTTTGCGTCTTTGCATTCTACCTGGGAGCCCAAACTGTCTGTACTCCAGTGGTCAGACTTCTGCTGACACACCCCCTGCACAGCTCAACACAGTGTATTTCTGTCTCTGACAGACTGGGGTTTATTTACTAAAGCTGGAGAGTCCAAAATCAGACTCCCTTCTGCATAGAAACCAATCAGCTTCTAACCTCAGCTTGTTCAATGAAGCTTTGGCAATGAAACCTGGAAGCTGATTGGTTTCTATGCAGAAGGGAGTCTGATTTTGGACTCTCCAGCTTTAGTAAATAAACCCCCCTATGTCTGTGCTCTATTCAAGATGCTGTTGCTTGTAAAAGAACTGTTTATAACTTTTTCATCATGGTATTTATACAGTATTAGCTAAGTGCTAAACCAAAGAACCACACAGCCTACACTTCTTTTTATAGTTGGGCTGTAAGCAAACTCTGGGATATTGACTTTAAAACATGTTACAAGTCTTGCAAAAATGTCAAGTCTGGAAGTCTGGTTGACCCAAATCCAGCTCAAAATGATAGGATACAAGAACTGCCAGTAATGGATTGCACACTAATAGTTCACACTAAATATTTTTGAGCTCAGAGTGATCCACTTTGCATCTAATAAATGCAATGAGTTGCTAAGTTCCCTAGGGTACTCTTCATTCAGTAATGTTTTTTTTAATTTAAAGTGACTAATTCACACCCTACTAAAAAGGTTAGTGTAACGTTGATGAATAATAGCCTGAGAAAAAGCAACAAAATGGAAAAGTGCTCTTCACAGAATAGTATTTACAGTCAATTTTCAACCACAAATGTTTATCAAACCTTTAAACAGCATTAATATGTACTGTAAGTATCTGAAGGTAAAAACTGTTGTCTATCCCATTGGTCTCCAAACTGCAGCCTGGGGTCCCAATGTGGCCCTTTGCTTGCTTTTATCTGGCCCTTCAAGCACTTTTTTCCCCACTGATTCAAGACACTATTCCTGCCACTGGCACCATCAAAAGGGGCATAATTACTGTTACTGACATCAACAATGGGGCACTATTTCTCCCATTGACAACAGCAGTGGGGCACTATTCCTCCCCCTAATGCCAAAGATGCATTGTTTACTCCAGGGGTGTCAAACTGGCAGCCCTCCAGCTGTTGCGAAACTACAAGTCTCATCATGCCTCTGCCTTTGGGAATCATACTTGTAACTGTCAATTTTACAATGCCTCATGGGACTTGTAGTTTGGCAACAGCTGGAGGGCAGTTTGACACCTGTGGTTTACTCCCACTGACGGCAGTACAATTTATATTCCCAATGGCCACAGTCCGCCCCCCCTAAATCTAAAGGACAGTAAACTGGCCCTTTGTTTAGAAAGTTTGGAGACCCCTGGTCTATCCTATGAATCTGAACATACAGAAAAACATAAGGATTACCAAACAAATTCATGACAGACGGAGCAAAATGTTGGCTGAGGGAAGAAGGTGGCTATGAACTCATGACACTTGACATTATGAACCTTAGCTTGTTTCATGGCTCCACGGCGTTGATGTATTGCAAACTGGTTTTTCCGCCTCTGCTTCATAGTGCGCTTTAGGATCTGTGGAAAAACACAACAATTAAAAAGGAACCATGTTCATCAATTGCATATTTCCATATAGAAAACGTGTTGCGGGATTTTGCATCATGTTGACATGCACAATCTGTAGACATATTAAAAATGTACCAATTTTGAACACATCATTTGTTAATATGTCATAAACATGCATATTGTTGGAAATATTTGTGCAATTCTTTGTTTTCTAAAGCACCCAATAAAATGATCTAAATCAAGTGTCCAGAAACAGAAGACGAATAGGATACAGATGTCAAGGATTTGAACTTGCAGGATGTGGTTTAGTGTAGGTTCTTAGTGTCACATCTGCTGCATGAGTTTATGTCAAGACATGAAAACTAAGAAGTATTTGATCTCAATAGATTCCACCCCACAGTGTTGTTGACTATACCGCATAACATAACTAACATACATAACAGATTGCAACCTTTGGAATTTCTTTACTGTTGCCACCAGAAAGTCAAACTGAAGCAATGTGAAGAACAGCAGAAGTCCTATACACAAGTGAACAGGTGAAACACAGACAGGACACACAGCACCTAGATGAAAACAGGCATCAGAAATCAGGCTAAGGTTGTTATCAGGATAGCAGACAGAAGGCCCAGATAAAGCTGGCAGGTCTGGATCCATCAATGAAGACAAGAAGCCAAAACAAGCACAGGGGAAGGCAAAGAACATGGTTACAAGGGCTAAGACAAAAAGCAGAAATTAGGAAATCCTTAAGCCAGGGGTGTCCAGCCCACAGGCTGCATGCAGCCCCAGAGAGTTTAGCATGTGGCCTGCGGCCCATCTGGGGATGCCGTGCAAGCACAGCAGCCACGGTGGCTGACACAGACAAACCCATCTGTAGGGACATCAGGAATGCCTTGCAAACACAGCAGCCTCTGCAGCCTACATCGTCAAGCCAGGGGAAATGGTCGGCTGGAGGGATGCCAAGACTGCTATGTTTGCACCAGCACTGGCAGCAGGGAATGCAGGGGAGCCAGGTAAGTTAATGTTGTATGGTCAGATCTAGCGGGGGTGCTGGGGTGGGCTGCGCCCCCCAGATTTCAAATATTTGCGGCCCAAGACAATTTCTGTTCTTCCAATGTGGCCCAGAAAGGTCAAAAGGTTGGACAACCCTGCCTTAAGCAACTTAAGGAATTATAAAAGGAGAGGAACTCTCATGGATTGCTGAGACCAAGCACGGATGGGAGGGCAAAGGCACAGAGCAGAGTATGGTATGGATAAAATTGATGAAAGAGAAAGGACCTGGGAGTGATAAAGAATGACAGATGTATAGGAAATGGACAGAGAAAAAAATTCAGACTGACAAAATTTATAGAAACTGAATTATGGGAACCCGTTGCTACCAGAGTCAAATTTACCGTATGGTACTCAAGCGCTTCTCACTAGGGCAACAAGATGAAAGGGACTGCGCTAAATCACAAGTTAGTTGTCATAGTTACAGGGCAATACTGAAGCTCTTATACACAGGAGATTTGCATACATAGTGCTCTAGATTTTGGGGTGTTCTGGGGTGCTCTTAGTCATATTCCAGTGTAGATGCAGCTTCCTTGAGGAAAATCTATTGTCACAGCACACTCTTTCATTTTATAACATTACCATTGTAAAAGTAATATAAACAATAGTTATTTTTGACAACCCAATATAAGCTTACTTAATAAGGGTAGACTGGAAATAAATACGTGATTTTACATTTTGACCATAGATATGCTTGAAGGTGTCTGCTTTCAACATCTCCTCCCTGTTAGCAGAGGGTTACTTTAAAACCTGCATCTTCTATAGATACCGCCCAGGATGTCATTTTTACATCAAATACAGAACGTACTACAGTATGATGCCTCCCATCTCCCTGTAGCTGGGTTGCTCCTGCATAAAACACTTGTATTTAGTAAGTTACAGCACAAAACATTCTGTTAAAAAGTAGTACATATAAGAAGAAAATGGTGTTACCCGACTGTTCCAGGAAGTATCTTGCATTCATTATCATTCTGCCTTGTGGTTTAAGTTCTATCTGTGCAGAAAGCAAAAAAAAGTTTTCATTCTGAACACTCGTTAAATTTTGCTGATCATGGATTCCTCCAATTTGTTACAAAATTATATATTAAAAGGATTACTTTATTGGTAGCTTTTATTTATTTATTTATTTATTATGCAGATTCAAATTATTTATTTTGTTTGATTGAGGAAAGATGATTGTGAAATACACATTTTAATATGATCTGATCAGCAAGTTCATGAGTCATGTTGAACAAAATAACTGCTGGAACAAATGCTGTGTATGCCTTGATGAAAATCACACGTGATTCACCCTTCCTGGTGATAATAAGGAAAAACTGTCATGAGTGTAAGGCAGGCCATAGACGTGGGAACAACCGGCCGTTTTTTTTTTTTTTAAAAGTCGTAAATCGGTCATTCAGACGGCCGACGTTGCCACTAATTTAAAAAAAAAGTCGGCGGATTTTAGTTCCATCTAGGGCCGTCGATATATATAATAGCGGTGTCCCTGCATAGAGACCCACTATTTTATTTGACAGAAGAAATAGATTATGCAGAAGAAGAAGAGAAACAAGATTGTATCTATTTGTACTTGAATAGAAACATCTGTATCCAAAATGCATACAAATAGATACAATGTTGCAACTTTTTCTCTTCTCCGTCTTCTTCTGCAAAATCTATTTCATCTTCTCCTCTTTTCTTTTCTTCTATTCTTCTTCTTGATATTCTATTTTTCTTCTTCTCCTGCAAAATCTATTTCTTCTATTTCTTCTTTTACTTCATAGTCAATTTATTGTCAAACCGGCCAGAAGAACGGCCGATTTGACCATAAATTACCGCGAAAATCGGACAATCTAACAAAACGTCCCAGGATTTTCCACCTTAGACGATTTTCAAAATCTCTTAAAATTAAGAAAAACGGCCAACAGTTTTCCCCACTAACGGTATGAATATCGGCCGATAATTCGGCAAGAAAATCAGAAATCTATGGCCGCCTTTAGGCACCTTTCACACTGGCAGACTGCCGGCGGATCTCTGCTGAGCAGGCTGGTGACAGGTGTATGTCTGCTACGCTTATACAGAGCAGACACTGACACAGCCTGCTGTCCTCTATAGGCGGTCACATGTAAACAGACTGCATGTGCGTTTACATCTGACTGTCATCCGATCCACTAGACGGATTGGGGAACGGATCCCTATCAGTCTGTTTATAGTAGATAGGATCAAATTGGATGCAGACTGGTGTAAATGGACACATATCTGTTTACATCCCCCCTTCCATAGAAGGTAATTCATTGTTTGATCGGGGGTGCTCTGGAAAAAAAGACAGGCGGACCCAATCTGTCCACCTGTGTGAAAGGCCCCTTACACATGGGCGGCCAATACTAACATTTTTCTTCTTAAAATGCTGGTTACTTAGCTAACCATTTGCTTGCAATATTTTGAAGCAACTACATACAGTATCTGGAGCAAGTAGGGAGATCAGAAATTCTGACTTCACTCTGACATACATACATGCTGCAAACTTGCTTTGGATCACTAAATCCAAAAATATGTAACTACGAGGATTAGCATGACATCAAGGCAACTAGCATTTTTGACTGAGTTTCAGCCCGCGCATTTCTCTCATGACAGAATTCCTGTAATAATCAACTTGGTGCCATATTTGTTTACATTGCATACAAGCCAACCGTTCCAGATTTACTAGGATAGTCTCGCACCTTCACCCTGTCTTTTACCATTGCTCTATCCGGGGCCTTTTACATGAGGCTGAACATCCTATTACGCTCTTCAAAAAGTTGACTACAGGAAGTCCCCTGTACAGTTCCTTGACTTACATACAACTCATACTTAAGAATGGAGGCAGCGCGCTGTCACGCTGATCCCGAAAACTGCCAAGCGGCCATCTGACTGCTCACCGCATGCTGCCACCTACCGGCAGGCTGACCTGTCAGTAATCCCACATTACTACATGGTCAGTTAACCCTTTCCTATGCTAACCAAAACTTTAAAAAAAGAAAATTTGGGCTGGAGTTACACTTAAAATGTACCTGTTCCAACTTACACACAAATTCAACTTAAGAACAAACCTACAGAACCTATCTTGTTCATAACCCCGGGGACTGCCTGTAGTTACATATGCCTTTTACTAATGTAGTGCCACTCCCGTGCACGCCGCTGGAAGATGACGGTCTCCAAAGGTTGCCCTGACCTTGCAAGCCTTCTGACACCTCTGACACCCTGGGTTCAGACATGGTCCACGCAGAATCACACTTGCAATGACACCAAGTTGTAGTAAGGCAATTGAATATTTACTAGAAGATTTTATGTCAACAGACAAAGGCAAAAGAGTGTTGGTGCAGATAACTTTAAATATAACCCCCTTAGTCCCTAAGGTCTCAGATCACAGATGTAAAATAGAGGTGAATCAAACAGCAACTAAAATTAGGCCTTTAAAGAACCTTTGACCCCAGGCATGAAAGAAGAAAGAAAGACTTTCCTGTGTCAATCTCTCCCCTTAAAACCCTGATGTCATAGCCCAACAAATATCAACACATGTTATAATAACTCAATGTAATGTAAGTGAACTATTTCTGAGTGTAAATTCCCCATAATATACGCCAGAGTAAAGAGTTCTTTAAGTGAAGACACAAAAGAAAAAGAGTCTTGATAATGGAGTGTGTTCCAAAATTTTCAGCTAGCTCAATCTGGGCCCAAAGAGATTTCTGTGCAATGGCGACCAGCAATAATGAGTAGCGCATGCTAGTGTTTCCTATAAGAGGGTTTGAGATCAAAGAGATGAAGTAAAGGTGTCTGCAGGCAGTGTCCTTGAAGGAGTGTACTCAGTGTGGGCTTCTGCCTGCTCACCAATCCTGAAGATACCGAGGCTCAAGAGATGCAGACATCCCCAGGCAGGCACTTGAAGGATCCGGGCCCAGTGAAAAGCACCTGATCCGTGTACCTGGGTC